TAAGATCCCGTTCGGGAACGGCCGGCCGGCGGCCGGCTGGGAAAATCTCTCGCCGCCCGGCTTCTTCGTGGGATTCGGTTCGGATTTTCGTATTATGCATGGTTATTAGGGTCGGGTTGTTTTTTTCGGGGCCGCATTTCATTCGCACTTCGTGTTCTTGGACTCGGAATTAAGCATTGCGGTATTTAGGGTAATTTTTAGGGGGTAATTTTAGGGGAATTTTTGGAAGTTGAAGTTATGCAAAATTTTGCATAATTATAAAATTTGTAGAATTTTTAAAAAAATTTTTTTAACGGAAAAAATAGGCATTTTCATAATTCTTTAATCAAAAATTTCATTTCAAAAAATTTCCATAATTTTTTGAAATTTGCATAAAATTTGCATAATTTAAAAATTTTTGAATTATAGTAAAAATATTATATTTTTGACTCTAAAAACAGCCATTTTCATAATTTTTATGTCAAAAATTAATTTCAAAAAATTTACATTACTTTTTGAAATTTGCATAAAATTTGTATAATTTAAAAATTTTTGAATTATACAGGGTGGGCCACTCGAAACGGGTAAGTTTCCGATTTTCCCGAAATTTAGATTTTTGTGTAGCTGAGACCCGCCATTTTTAACCGGTTAAATTTGAAAAAAATATATTTTGAATTGACCTTTCTATGCCTTCCCAAAGTTTTAAAGAATTATTTTCGAGCCGAAACCGCTAAAACTTTGAAAATTTTTGGAATGATTTTCAATTGACTTTCTCGGACTTGGAAAATTTTTGGCTTTTTTTTGGGGGAAATCGCGGAGTAAAAAGTTGCTAGTGCTCGCCTTAAACTTGTTTAAAGCAAGTTGAAAGCCACAAGAGGGTTGTTTGTATTGCCATTAGGGCACGAACATTCAAAAAAAAAAAGATTTCAAAGCAAAAGTCCACACAATTGGCAACGAGCCCCAGCTCCAAGTCATTGAAGCTTGGAGCCCAGCCCGATTAAAGATAGACGATGTTCACGATCTGCAATTTGAGCTGTTCACGACTCTCATGACTCTCAAAGCTCCTACAAGTTTGTGCTGCGAGAGGAAATGGGCATTTCGGACTCAGATAGAAATATTAATAATCAGGTCGTTAAATAAAATTGTTTTTACGACAATATTTTATGGTTATCTGAGGTAAAACTTAGAAAATTTCACCCAAAAACTCGAAAAAATGACCAAGTTTTCGAAATCATTCCAAAAATTTTCCAAGTTTTAGCGGTTTCGGCCCGAAAATAATTCTTCGAAACTTTGGGAAGGCATAGAAAGGTCAATTCAAAATATATTTTTTTCAAATTCAACAGGTTAAAAATGGCGGGTCTCAGCTACAGAAAAACCTAAATTTCGGGAAAATCGGCGGAGTCTCCGCGGAGAAATCCAAAGAAAAAACTTACCCGTTTCGAGTGGCCCACCCTGTAGTTAAAAATATTATATTTTTGATTCTAAAAACAGCCATTTTCATAATTTTTAAAATTTATTTCAAAAAATTTGCATAATTTTTTGAAATTTGCATATTATTTAAATATTTTTGCAAAATGCTTAAACAAGATTTTTTAATTAAAAAATTACCTATTTTTCGTAAATTTGAATGTTTAAAACGTCTTCCAAAATTTTCGTTTTCGCATAAAATTTCCATAAATCCCCTCAGCTGCGAGATTAGCGCAGCGACATTGTGCTCATCCTCATTATTTTCCCGACAGCCTTGTTAAAATGCGGCTCTTTGGGCTGTAGGATATTAAAAAGCCCCGTTTTTGTTCGCGAAATTTCATGTAAAGAAATTATTTAAAAAAAAAGAAACCTAACAATTCCCCTCCCAATATGTACATATACATATTTACCAACATGTATACACATAAACAGACAGTAATTTCATTTTTTTCGTAATTGTATTAAACAATTATCCACATTAGAGATTAATCTCTTTGTATTTTCCCATTTTTTTTTGTTTGAGAAAGGTCTTGTGACACTTTTGGGCGAAACTTTTTTCCAAAAATGAAATATTTATGGCTGGGAGAGGAATTACAGTTTATAGCGTAGATTTTGTTTCACCGACTCGGTTAGTGGATTTTTTATGAGGCCAAGGGCCACTTGAACTCTTATGAAAACTCGTCGTAAATTCAGGTTTGTGGTCGCTGAGAAATACGTGATATTTCTAAATCGCGCTTTGCTGAATCAACCGAGATTTTTTAGCTGGAAAGTTGCAAAAAATTAAAAAAAAAAATTTTTGCGAATTTTGACATGAAAATTTTCGTGGCTATTTCTACCGTAGAGTGTATTGTTTCCACAAAAAAATCTATTTTTTTCATAGCGAAAATGGCGGAGATACGACTAAAAATTTTTTTATCTCTGACTTCTAAATTATTAGCATATTTCGATCTAAAAATCTCGAAAAAGCATCCGCAGCTAGACCTTTTTTGAAGACCAAACAATAAATTTATGGCTCTCAATGAAATTCGAGGATTTTCATAATTTTTTTTAAAATTTTTTTACGATTGTTCATTATTTTTTCAATATTGCCTGTTACAATTTGCTATCCAGAACTATCATCAGTCTGTCCGGAAAATATCAGTCTGTCGGGAAAATAACGGCGGATTGTCGCAGCAAAATGTCTCGCCTCGCCGCTGTCGCGCACCAAATCCCCAGCCGCGACTTTCAGTCGCAGTGCGATGATGGGCGATTCGGAGGCGCGACGATCCGCCGTTATTTGATAATGAGCCCTCTGTCGCATCAAAAACCGTATCGCCGCCGAGAAAAATGAATTATGTCGCGGCAAAATCTTGTCGCTTTCCGCATGGTGCAAAAATTTTTTTGGGTGCCGCTCGAACCCTGGCACATGTCAAAAAAAATCTTTCAGAAAATTGAAAAAACAAGGAACCTCGAATCATTGATTTTTTGCGAAGTGCCACAGAATTATCGAGATAGAAAAATTATTTTTCCGTTCGAAAAAACATTTTTCTCGAAAAAAAACTTTTTCTCTGGGAAAGTTTTTTTTTGTGATTCGGTAATTCAGCGAAATTTCGTCAAAAATCAATGATCCGAGATTCCTTGTTTTTTCTCTTTTTCTTTGACGTGTGGCATTTTCTGCACTGTGCGAACGTTAAAATTCAAACCGGCGACATGCACCGTGCGACAATAACAAAATTTCAATTCGCACAGTGCAGTTTCTTGCTTTTAGCACCGTGCACTAGGCTTTTTTGGCTGTCACTCGCACTTTGAATTTTTGTGCACTGTGCATTTTGTTGCTTTTGCGACAAATCTTTTTCTGTGTCAAGAGTTGCCAGGTCAAGAGCTTTTGACCTGCCTAGTGCCTTCTTTGGACTTACAAAATTTATTTTGACTACAATATTTTTCAAGCTCTCAAGTCCTGTGGCACTTACCATATTCCCTCGGATCTTTATAGGTCTTTGATAGTGCGGCCATAAAGCCGTGTTTTATGAGAACGAGACGCGAATGGGAGTACCTTTCATAAAAATAACATACTTGGGGCGCTTGTAAAGATGATGTTTGAAGCAGGTCGGGATCGATGATGGACGTGCTCGCGGCTTTATAGCATGTTTATTTATATGTTTGACGTCGGAATTTCCATTTTTTGAGAATTTTTTTTATTTTTTTTATTTATTTTATTTTTTTTTTTTTTTGAAATTTTGGAAGAAAAAAAAATTTTTGCTTTTCAAAAATTTTTAACTTTTGCTTTGCAACTAGCCGAAAATTTAAAACTTCAGCGATTTTTGCGTACAACAGAAGTATTTTCATAAAGTGCATGGACATTTGTCGCAACCCGAAATCTCCACGCACCTTATTACGTTTTTTTTTTGAAAAGTCCGTAGACTTTTTGACGTGACCCGCACCGTCCCCAAAACGCCTTTTTGCGGCGTGCATTGGACTGTTTGCATTGTGCATGCGGAATGTCGCGGCGACGGAAGCTTTTCGCAACTGAATTGGCGCGAATTTTAGGCGAGAAAAAAAAGAGAGAAATTGCACAGTGCAAAATGTTTCGAAAAGAATTGCGTCGCGGAACATGCACGGTGCGATGCGAAAAAGGCCGGAAAAAGTTTATAAAAAGTCTACGCATTTTTGAAAAGCCTAGTAGTCCTTTCAGTAAGTGCGTAGACTTTTTTTCCTTTTTTTTGCATTTTGTTTCTTTCTGCACTGTGCAATTGTTTTCCGCCCAAAATGCGCGGCGACGCAGCTGAAAAGAGCTTACGCCGCGCGATGACTGTCATACTATATAGTACCAAAGTGCGAAAAATTTGCGAAAAAACTCTACGCCACCTTGTGGAACGACTCGCATCAGTCTGTCGGGAAAATAATGTGGATTTATCGCAGGAAAATATCCCACATTATTTGACCGATAAATCCACATTATTTTCCCGACAGACCGATAAATCCACATTATTTTCCCGACAGACCGATAAATCCACATTATTTTCCCGACAGACCGATAAATCCACATTGTTTTCCCGACAGACCGATAAATCCACATTGTTTTCCCGACAGACCGATAAATCCACATTATTTTCCCGACGGACCGATAAATCCATATTATTTTCCCGACAGACCGATAAATCCACATTATTTTCCCGACGGGCTAATAAACCCACATTATTTTCCCGACAGACCGATAAATCCACATTATTTTCCCGACAGACCGGTAAATCCACATTAGAGACTGATATGCACTCAGACTACTCCATTTGTCACCACAATCAGCCAACCGAACATGTTGACACAAACCCCGGCCGAATGTCGTCGTATTGCGGTCTCGCGACAACCACTTTCCAGAACATTACCACACCCCCAACTCCCAAACCTCTTGTTCTCAAAACCAACAAAAAATTCCCACCGTAGGTTCGGCGGAACTGCCGCACAACACGCATTTTCCTTCGCACCTCGCCGCACGCATGTCATCCGGGTTCTTCGCGTTTCGCGAGCTCGTCTACTGCATATAATATAAAAGTTCTTGGCTATAACTCCGTCTTATCATGCCGGCTCTCCCCCCTTCTCCATTCCTCACGAGAAGCCTTAGGGCCTCGGCGAAAAAACAACCGAATTATGAGGGCACGGAGTGGTAAGTCGTAGTCGGGCGAGGGGATTCATTTTCTCCCCTCTCGGCGGCGCAGGTAAACCCCCGGCTTCCCGAAGCTTCGCCCGCAAATGCGTTGTTACACGCTAACGTATAAGTTGGCGGTGTGGCGTAGTGCTTGTGACCAATTTCGTACGAGTTTTGGGGCCGATTTTTTGCGGGATTTTGCGGGAAAAACAGCTTACAATTTTTTCGGGGGTTGGAAAAGGTTTTGTTGTAAAAGTACAACAATTTGAAAATGTTTTTGTGAAATTTGTAGTCTACGCCATCCTCTTGAATCAATGTGCCCATTCTTCGCAACTTTAGCCGATTTGAATTTCAAAAGCCGGAATTTCCCGCCATTTTTGGCATTCTGTTTAAACGGTCGATAAAGCGGTAAATTTTTGAAAAATAGACAAAATAATTACTACAAGTTTATTTGGAACTCATTAGTAAGCTATATTGTTATTTTGGTAAAAACGGGCTCTTCAGCTTCGAAATTTTATATTACCCATGATCATCCCTCCAGTTTAATATAAAATTGCTATTTTTTGATGTTTTCAACATAAAACAGACTCGCTTTTGATATTTCTGGGTAAAATACACTCCGTATTTTATTGTTAAAAATTTTCAAGACCTTATCTCGACATACGACACTTGAATTTAACATTTTTTTGCCGCTCGAATGTCAGATTTATCGTCTAAAGTTACAAAAAAAAAACGTCCCGGAAATCGAGCCCGTCTGAACTAGAGATCATGTCCTGTCATGATTGATTACGGGATGTCATTGCGTCGTTCAAAATATGACGGAAATGTCCTTTCTCAAACGTTCATTTCCTTGGCTTTAACTTTGGCTAATTTTTTTTCTATTTTCTCTCTTGAATACAGCCTAATACAAGTAATGTATGGGGCCTGTAGAGCGTATCAAGTGCGATGATGACATTTTTGTTTATTTTTGCGATGCTTATTGACCTTCTTTTATCAGATTTCCCCGAAATTTGCCTAGTATAATATAAGTTTCTGTAAATTTTGCCATTTCCTTTGTTGTTTTTGTGTTCTTCGAGCGGAACGTGATGCTCTATTGTTGTACACATTCTACAAAATACAATTTCGGAGGGTTTAACCAGTAATTTTGAGAATTTTTGGGCGAAATTTTTATGATGACTTTAAATTAATTTTGGGATTTTAATAAAATTTTATGCAAATTTTTAAAGTTTTTATGATAAAAACTATACCACCGTAGTATTTTAGCTCTGAAAATAGTATTTTAAAATATTTTGCCTTAGGGGTTTTGCGATTTTTACACATTTTTTCACATTTTTTCGCGATTTTCCGCGGATTTTCAAAATTTTTTTGTTTTATGCAAATTTCGCTTCAGACCCTTGGCCTCACTGTGCAGTAAAATTGGCGAGACTCATCGTTCCCTCTCCTCCTATCTTTATCTTTCGGCCAAAGAAACGTTTCTCGCCCTGAGGCGGAAAGACGAGGAGCCCGCAAAGCTGGTTGCGTTTGGCATGAATCACGTGGATTCGAGCAACCAGCACCCCATTGGCGACCACAGTGATCTGCCCTTGCTGGATGCCGACGAATGCAGCAGCGACCAGGAGCTGCAGAGCCCCAAAATCGGTGAGTTGAGGGGCTGGATATTGGAGTGGGCATGGATGGGAAGTGATTTTAATGGTGTTTAGAGTGAGACTCAGAGTCGGTGAATAAATTCTATGAGTAGTGTACTCTCTGGTATCTAGAAATGGCATATGCCCTCCGGCGATGTAGGCTTATTAGTCAAATGGACCCCAAATTCGAAAAAAAGCATCAGATGGGTAGTGCAATATATAAAAGTGATTTTACAGTAGTTCAAAATGAAATTCAGGGTCAGCAAATCAATTTTATTGGTAGTGTAGGCTCTCTAGTATCTACAGACGGCATGTGCCTTACGGCAATCTAGGCTTATTAGTCCAATTGACCTAAAACTTGAAAAAGCTCATCAGATGGTTAGTGTAATATGTAGAAGTGATTACAAAGGTGTCTAAGATGAGGCTCAGTGCCAGAGAGCCTATACTACACAATTGTATGTGTAGTATAGGCTCTCTAGTATCTAGAAATAGCATGGGCTCTACGGTAAACTAAGTTGGTTTGCCACTTGACCCCAAATTCTAAAAGCAGCATCAGATGGGTAGTGTAACATAAAAATGGGATTAGAAAGGTGTTTACAATGAGGCTCAATGTCGGTAAATTTTTTCGGTGTGTAGTATAGGCTCCCTAGTATCCAAAAATTTCACATACCCTATGGCAGTTAGGTTTTATTAGTCAGCTTGACACTAAATTCGAAAAAGAGCTTCAGATGGGTAGTGTAACATATAAAAGTGATTATAAAGCTTTCAAGCGGTCTAGGCGGCAAAAATTTTTAGCTAAAAAGATTTTGCTATTTCTCGTGGCAACTTTTCACACAGAACTTTGTACTCTTCATTAGTCGGTAGCTGTAAAAAATCTCGAAGCTTGCAAGGTTTCACTGGCTTCGAAAATTTGGAAATTAATCGATTAAAGTCCGCAATAAGGTTTCATTTAAAGAATTACAGATAAGTCGGCATGACCAGACGCTCACAAGATTCATTTGTAATTTTTGGTCAATTTTGTGACATTTTGTCAAAGTATTGATTTTTGAGAAAAATTAAATTTTAATGTTTTAAGATCAATTTTTTTTTGTTGAATAATCGTTGCATATAGAAAATTACTAAATTTCTTCGGATTTTTTCACAGAAAAAGTTGATTTTTGGTGAAAAAATAACGAAAATTGTGACTTTTTTGATTTTTTTCCCGAAAAAATCTCGGTTGTTTCTGCAAAACGCGAGCTCAAATTTTTAGATGTATCTAAGAAAATGTTGCTTTTAGTTTGCGCCAAGTTTCAGCCAAATTGGAGAAAAAAAATTTTCGTTTGAAATTTGAATTTTTTCTCAAAAAAATCAATTTTTTCAAAATGAAAATCATCTTTTTCAAAATAAAAATCGTTGTTTTCCACATGAAAATTACTTTTTTTCAGAATGAAAGTCATCCTTTTCCACGTAAAAATCATTTTTTCTCCCTTAAATTTCCAATTTTTCAGCGCAACGTTCCCGGCCGTCTCTGACCTTCACGGACGACACGCACCAGTCCATCCTGAACACCTCCACCAACTCCAATGACACCAACAACAACTCCAACTCGCTGCCGTACCCGACGACGCGCTCGCAGCAGGTGCCGCGCCTCAACCTGCAGTCCTCCAACACCGCCACCGCCAACAACAACGGCTCGCTGCTGATGATGACGAACAACCTGCTCAGCAACTCGCTGCCCAACTCGATCCATCCGAACGCGGCGCCGCCCGACAAAAAGTTCGCGAAACGGCCCTCGCTCGGCCAACTCGAGCTCGGCGACAAGGCGGGCCGCAAGCAGTTCCCACGACTCGTCGCCAAGAACGGCGAGTGCCTGGTCCGCCCCATCCACAACCAAAGCCCATACCTGAGCTTGTACAGGTGGGTCTGCTTCTGGAAACAGTAAGAATTCAGCAGACCTTTGCCCTCGTTTTCTCAACGCTTTCTGTCGCCAGTTTTCCCCCACGGTGTGGAGTGAATATATCCGAGATTTTGGGGGAATTTTTGAGGGGAATTTTGGGATTTTTTGGACGAAAAATTTTGATTTTTTGGATTTTTTTTTTTTTTTTTTTTTTTGAAATTTCAGATTTTTTGGGTCAAATTAGAGATTTTTTGATTTTTTTGGAAGAAAAATTTTTGATTTTTTGGAATTTTTTTAGGATTTTTTGGACGAAAAATTTTGATTTCTTGGATTTTTTTTTTGAAAATTCAGATTTTTAAAAATTTTTTGGAAGAAAAATTTTTGATTTTTTGGAATTTTTTTTTGATTTTTTGGACGAAAAATTTTGATTTTTTGGATTTTTTTTTGGAAATTTCAGATTTTTAAAAATTTTTTGGACGAAAAATTTTGATTTTTTTGCATTTTTTTTAGGATTTTTTGTGAAATTTTTGTGGAATTTTAGATTTTTCAAAAATTTTTTTAAAAATTTTCTATTTTCTTGGGGATTTTTCGAATTTTCAAAATTGATTTTTTCTTGGAATTTTTTGATTTTTCGTTTTTTTTTGATTTTTCAGGATTTTTCATTATTTTTTCGCAAATTTTGAAATAGGCTTTAGAAGTTTTCGTCCTTCAAAATTAATCAAGAAAATTTCGGATATTGTTATTTTTGGAGTGCTTCTCTATGTGAGTTGTATTTGGAATTCTTGTTGTGGTTTTTTCCAAAAAAAATAAAAATAAAAAATTTTCAAAAAATCTTATAAATTTTTGCGGATATATTCAATTTCCCACTGTTTTTTTAACTTCAAATTAGTTTCGCTTAGCTATCGTACGACTGTTGTTCTACGTTTTCTTACTTTTTCCATTACTGCTAACATTTTTCTTTACCATCCTAAATGGGATCCTTGGTTTTTTTAGTTTGCACAAAAAAAAATTAAAAAAAAAAAATTTTTTTTTTGAAAAATAAAAAGATAAAAAATTTATGTTTTTAGCTAAAAAATTCTTTTTCGGCCAAAAAAATTATTTTTAAAATAAAAAATACACCTTTCCCACCAAAAAATTGAAGTATTAAACTTCAAGTTCGACCCTTAGATTTTAATGAAATTCGGTATAAAATTAGAATAATTTTTACTACGACACATACGAGACTCCTAGCTCGCGTTTTGCGAAAACAACCGAGATTTTTAAATCGAAAACTTGCAAAAAATTAAAATTTTTTTTTACGAATTTTATCATCAAAAATGTCATGCTTATTTCTACCGTAGAGTGTAATATTTCCTCAAAAAATCAGCTTTTTCCATGCGAAACTGCCAAAGATATGGCCAAAAAGTGAGTTTTACTTTTTCTCTGACCGCTCTCCACCTTTCGCGTACTCTCTCTCTCTCTCTCTCTCGCCTATTGCCTTCCAAAACTTTAAAATATGACTCTGTCGGGAAAATAATGTGGATTTGTCGGAGCAAAATATCTGTTCTTTTCGCAGTCAAGGCGAGGCCAAATTCTCAGCCACGGCTGGCTTTTGCAAAGCGAGAAAAAATGGCGCGACAAATCCACATTATTTTCCCGACAGACTGGTAGAGACTTTTTCTCTCAAAAAATCGTTATAAAAAATCTTAAAAATCAAAAAAAATAAACAAAAACCCAAAAAAAATATCACGGTTTGTCTTGTTCCGCACCACACCGTAACCCTGTACCACTTGTAACCATTGTTTTTTACCTTCGAAAATTTGCAGAAACTGGTTTCACTTACTCATCGAGTACTCCTGGCGCAGCGTGATCACGGTGTTCGCGGCCGGCTTCGTGCTGTCCTGGATCTTCTTCGGCTTCATCTACTACTTGATCGTGCACCTGAGCGGCGACATGCAGAAGCGGCCCGAGCATCGCCAATGCATCGCCAACGTGCACAGTTTTGTGGGCGCGTTTTTGTTTAGGTGAGTGAAAACCTATGTAAAGTTGGGCTTTAAGAAATGTTTATGGCATGAAAAAAATCACACAGGAGTGTAGTATTATTATTTTTTGATTTTATCCTAAATTTTCAAGTTTTAAAATTTTATTGTTTTCGTGTCGAGACCCAAAATTTTGAATTTTCAAGGTCCTAAATTTCGATGGAACTTGGTATAAATTTAGATTAGGCTCTTTCAGCGCATATGCCAGATTTTTAGTCTGCGCTTTGCAGAATTCGCAGAAATAAGCGAGATTTTTAAACAGAAAAATCCCGGAAATACTATTTTTTGCCAATCCTCTTGAAATTCTATAGCAAAAAAAACAGTTGATATGTGAATTCAAGACTCTAGAAGTGATTTTTAGGCCAAATCAAGGTTCCAGTAATTTTTTTTAAATCCTTGGCCGGCCGCGAAAATTTTTGACGAAATTTTGGATCGAAATAGCAATAAAACTGTTAAATAAGCCATTTCCAAGTCATTTCTAGCCCTGCAGCAGATAATTTTAATGATTTTTCACTTTCGGCCGCTTTTGGCCGCGAAAAATTTTCTTCGATTTTTGGTCATTTAGCCCATAAAAATTGCAGTAGCTATCTGGATTGAGCCATTTTTGGACTCTTTAGACGCTATTTTATGTCAAAACGTGACTTTTTAAATTTTCGGCCGCTTTCGGCCGCGAAAATTTTTGATGAAATTATTGTCCTAAAAGCTAAAGTACTAAGAAAACAAGCTAAATAAAGCAATTTCAGAGCGTTTAACCATAATTCCAGACCATTCTTTCGCAAAAACTTTACATATTCAAGCTTTAATCAAACGTTTTTCCAGCCTCGAATCCCAGCAAACAATAGGTTACGGTTCTCGCTACATGACGGAGATCTGCCCTCCGGCATTCATCACGCTCTCACTGCAAATCGTGGTCGGCCTCCTGCTGCAGACCATGCTGGCCGGCATCGTTGTGGCCAAGGTGTTGCGGCCCAAGAAACGGAAACAAGAGATGCGGTTCAGCCAGAAGGCCGTGATCGGCCCCATCGACGAAAACGACCGGCGCCCCACGCTGATGGTGCGGATTGCGGACATCCAGCAGAAATTGTATCTGGCCGAGTCCCACGTGCGAATGTACATGGCGCGGACGCGGATTAATCATGTGAGGTTTGAGATTTTTGGAGCGAAAAATGATACTTTTGGATCGTTTTTGGGATTAAAAAATTTTGAATTTTTTTGTTTTTTTTTTATTCGAAATGAAAATTAAAATTTTTTTAATTGAGATTTAAGATTTTTTGGAGCGAAAAATGATACTTTTGGATTGTTTTTGGAATAAAAAAATTTTTCGATTTTTTTTAATTTCAGATTAAATTAAAATTTTGTTTATTTAAAAATTTGAGATTTTTTGGGAGGAAAATGATACTTTTGGATCGTTTTTGGAATAAAAAAAAATTTGAAATTTCAAAAAAAAATTTTTTTTTTCAATTTTTTTTATTTTCAGCACGGCGAAAAAGAGCTCGTCGGCTTCCGAGATATGAATGTGGGATACGACAGTGGATGGGATCGGGTCCTTCTACTGTGGTAAGTTGAAAACAAGATTTTTTGGGAGAATTATCCAAAAAAATCTGGACAAAAAAGCGCCAAAAATAGTGAATTTTTCCATTTCAATCCATATTTGTCGATGATTTTCACTTTTCCCATTGAATTTTTGATTTCCGAAAATTTTATTGTTTTCGCGTTGGGACCCAAAATTTTAATTTTTTTATTCTAGATTTGGATGGGATTTAGAACAGGCTTAATCAGGGGTTTTTAGGATTTTTTTATGGTATATGAGTTATTTCTAGCTTCATCTGTGCAAAAACAATCGAGATTTTTTAGATATCTAGGTCAGCAAAGATTGTTGAATATCTCTGCTGAATCTGCACAGGGGCAGATAAAATTTTCAGCAGTAGATTTTGACTCTAAATAGATCATATGTCAAGAATTTGGAGTAAATCCGACCTCAATTTTTTGTGTTATGGCCGGTTCTTTACCACCAACCCTCAAAAAAATTTTTTTTTTTTTTTTCATTTTTTTCACTTTTAAATTAATTTTTGCCAAAATTTTTCAAAATCCGACAAAACCCTTCAAAATTCAACCCCTTCCCTTTGCAGGCCAATAATCATCCGACACATCATCGACGAGGACTCGCCGCTCTACGGCCTCACGCCCGAAGACACGACCTCCAACGATTTCGAGATCATCATGACCGTCGAAGGGATCGTGGAGGCGACCGGCGCCACCTTCCAGGCGCGCACCTCCTTCCTGCCCTGGGAAATTGAGTGGGGCCGCCGCTTCACGCCCATGGTGCACCTGAACGCGAAGCGCAACGAGTACGAGGTGGACTACGGGCTGTTCGACGTGACCGACCCACTTGCGGGCTACGTGCCGTTGATCACCACGCAAATCAAGGACGAACTGGAGCGGTATCAGGAGGAGGAGGAGGCGGACGAACACAAATTCCACAACAAGAGTGGGTTCACATGATACGAACGGTTCTGTGTGAGATGTTCGAAGTTTGGAGAGAAATCCGCATGGATTTTTGTCTTTTTTTGTCTTTTTTGCCATTTTTTGGCAAATTATTCCAATTTTTTTGATGATAATTCAAATACCAGATGATAACCTCTTATTTAATAAGAAAAACGGGCAAACATATATTGTTACCCTATGAAAAATTCGAGATTTTTTGAAATTTCCCTCAAAATTCCCAAAAATTTTAATTTTTTGAGCTATATCTTGGAAAATAATGCCTCAGGCAAACTAAAAATTTCTTTCGGTAGTACCCTATAGTCTCAGCGTTTGATCTGTAACAGTCCCGGCCACAAAAAATTTGAAATTTTTAGCATTTTCTCAATTTTTCCTCAAGCTTCCAAGATCTTCCCACTTTACACCCTAAATTTCAAATTTTCCCTTAGGCAACCGCTCAAACACCCATCGGAAACGAGCTGGACTACAAATTAGCAACATCATCTTCCGTTACACCTCAGAATTCTATTCGCAATGTTCATTGCTTTCGCGGTGATGACGTTTCTTTTTTTCGTCCTTTTCCGGTGTGCCCCCAAGGGAAGATTAGTTTTTGTTGGCGTTGTGCTGTCAACACGCTCCCTGGGGGCTTGGTTATTAGATGTTGGCTTCAAATAGCTTTGTTGAGGCGAAAGATTCAAAGTTGTAGGCTAAATTTGAGATCAAAACGGGGAATTAAGCAAAAAAATAGAATTTTGGAGAAAAAGTCTCAAAGATTGGTCGATAATTAGGCGGAAAGTGTTGCAAAATTTTGCAGCAGGGTTGCAAAATATTCCCTGAGGTATCAGCCCTCCCTATCACTTCAAAAATGGCCCACAAGCTTTGAAAAAATTTGAGAAAAACCGCTGAAAATCGAATTATCATCAAAAAATTGGACGATTTGCCAAAAAATCCCGTTCCTCCGCCCCCACTTCAAGATGAAACCCCCTCCGGCAAAATTGTAAAAGCTCAGTCTCTGCACCACACCTATGTCATGGCTCATAACCTCAACTCCCAACTGTAATTGTACATTTTTCTAACAATCTTTCATCGGCTCATAGGGACCCAATTCCCGGGTGTTGCGTAAAGAAACCATAGTAATTGTAAATAACGGTTAGAATAGTCGGGGAAAACACACAATACAAATAACATACAGTAACCTCTGTTCCGTCTAACAATACTTTTTTTGATTTTTTCGTGGATTTTTTGAATTTTTTGATAGCCAACTTTCTAGTCCTTCCTTTCGACAAACATATTAGATATAGTCGGATGAACACATATTCTGAGCAATTGTACTCCCGGTCATCGTTGAACTCGTTGAATTTCCCAACCCAATCCGGTCTTGTTTTTCCAGAGAATTTACAGAGTTTTAAATTTGTACGTGCAACGTCTTTTACCAGTTCCGAAAAACCCTCGACTGATACGAGGTCCTCCTTGTTTTCCTATTTTTGTTTTCGCATTTTGATCTCGGTGAGACGACATTTCAATAAAAGATATATACGTTGAAAGCGATGGGATGTTTGAAGCAATACTAGTGGGTTCGCAAAGTCACTGCAGTAATTTCGGCGACATTCAGTGTGTGAAGAAAAATGGATCGCTACGGGACGGACGAAGAGCAAGTGGATGGCCAAGAAAGGTTGTAGGAAGTGCCTACAAGGCCTGGCAAAGCCGTTGATTATCGACGGACGCTCTGCGAAGACTCGGCGGAGAGTTGACGAAGGCTCACAATATGTCCACCTTTTCTACCTTCATCTTTTACGAACGTTAGTTTTCTTTACCCTGAGCTAATGTAACATAAACAAGATCGAAAATTTCGGCAAACAACAAATTTCTGTAAGTTTTATCTGACAGGGGAAGTACTCCAAGTGCGACGCTCAGATTTTCCTTAAATTTTGCACACACGTCGGGTATGGACTAAACATCAATTCCTGAAAGTTTTAGCTCGCGCTTTGCCGGCGCGGCCGAGATATCAAACGATTTTTGCCGCCGAGAGAGCACGCTAAACGTGGAGAGCGGTCAGAGAGAAAAGCGCTTTTTGGCCATGACTTTGGCAGTTTCGAGCGGAAAAATTTGATTTTTTGTAGAAACATTATCCTTTACGGTTGAAATAGGCATGAAACTTTTCGAGCAGAAATTCGGCGAAAAGTACAAAATTTTCGCCGACTTTTGATCTAAAAATCTCGGTTGTTTCTGCAAAGCGCGAGCTAGAATTCTCGCATATATCTTAGTAAAAATTATTCTAAATTTGTGCCAAGTTTCATCAAAATCTGAGCGTCGCACTTGGAGTACTTCCCCTATGAATATTATTGATGCGAGTGCACGTAAAATACCTCAAAACAAGTGTTAAGCTGTCCTAGGACACGATCAATCTTATTATTTCAACTAACTAAGCTTTCTCCTAGCCTTCCCCATGCATAGAACGACGAACCAACACAATCCATAGTATCGTTGACCCGAACTGTCGCTGACTCGAAAACCCTTCAAAACGAAGTTTTTTTCACTTGTAGAGGGAAGCATTTTGCCACATTTTTGATACTTCCCTGATGCATAATGGTACGTTTTTTTGCCACTGGATTAGGTCCGCCACTGTAGTATTCATCAAAAAATATCACTTTTTTCGAAACTCCCCTCAGGCGTTTTTCCCACAATTTTTTTTTATTTTTCGTAATGCAAAATCCACATTCCAAAAAACGCAAATACAGTGAGTATTTGCATTATTTGTGTGTCGTTTTTTGTCTCCAAAAAACAAAGAGTGTATTAATATTTTTTAATCCGCGTGCAAATCGCAATATTTGCATACGGAACAATGGGATTTCGGTTTAAAAAACCACGATTTGGCCTCGGGCGAGATATCCAAAATTCGAAATTTGACATTTTTGTTACTGTTTATTACAATTTACGTCTATTACAAGTATTTTTTGAAACAAAAAATCGAAAAATGGCCAAATTTTGCGCTTTTGGCCTATTTGTATTACTAATTGAAGCTTTTCACAATGTAAAAGCCAACGAATGTCATCATGCGTTCGCCGAGAACGCGAATAAAGAGTTGTGCTCGAGTCCGAATGACTGCTCCAACCCCACGGCTGATTGCATTTTCAGCATCAAGGCTGGGAAACGGGTTTGCTGCGCTGAAAAGAAAGGGGCCGTATTGCCGGGTGAGTCATGAAAAAAAAAAATTTTTTGAAAAATTAATGAAAATGCTCTTTTTAGAACGACTTTCTCATTTTTTACTCAATTTTTTTGAGTTTTTAAAAATAATGTTTTCGTGTCGAGACCCAAAATTTGAAATTTTTTTGGTGATGAATCTTGCTTAAACTTGGCAAAAATTAAAAATGACTTTTTCTAAGACACATACCACATTTCTAGCTCGCGATGTATAAGGATGACCGAGATTTTTTGTCCGAAAATTGGAAATTTTTTTTTTTTTTTTTTTTTTTTTTTGAAAATTTAGCTATGAAAAGTTCCATGCCTATTTATACTAAAGAGTGTAATACTTCCACAAAAAATCATTGTTTTCCAAGCGAAACTGACAAAGATACGGCCAAAAATTGGTCTTCTCTCTGACCGCTCTCCGCATGTCACGTGCGCTCTCGTCCGCTAAGTTCGTTGAATATCTCGGCTCTCTCTGCAAATTGCGAGCTAAAATTTTCAGGAATTGACACGTCTTCTATACTCAATGTGTGTGCAAAATTTAAAGAAAATCTGTCGGAATTGCGACCCTTTTCAGATCCTTCCCCAATGTTTGTTTCCATTCCATTACATTCCATTTTTTCACCGTTGCAAAGCGATCTTTGTCATTGGAAAGTTCAATTTCGTGATCACTGTTTATTACAAAGTCCGTGTCAGGTCAGGGTTGTAAAGGGCTACGAGTAAAAATTGCGCGTAGTTTTGACTTTGTTAAAGAGGGTTCGAAAACTGTTGACATGGATCAAAATATACGCAAAAAGTGGGGTATAAATTATACCATATAATTTTGGGCGGGACGAAAATTCTTGACATGTTTTCGCACAGTGCGGTTGGCGTCAAAAGTGGGCTTGTGCAACAAACAAAATTAGCACAGTGCGAATGAAGAATGCACTGTGCATTTGGAATCTCTTTCAAAACATTCATGTGCGGGGTGTATCAGTCCGTCGGGAAAATAACGGCGGATCGTCGCGCCTCGGAATCGCCCATCATCGCTTTGCGACGCTGGAGATTTGGCGCGCGATAGCGGTGAGGCGAGACATTTTGATGCGACGATCCGCCGTTATTTTCCCGACAGACTGATTTTTACTTTCAATCTGTCGGGAAACAAACGGCAGGTCGTCGCAACATAAAATGTTTCGCCTCGTCGAAAAAAAGAGTGCAGTCGCGCACCAAAATTTTTTTTTATTTTCCCGACAGACGAGTATATCTGATACAGTAGGGAGCCTGATCCAGTGGCAAAACACGTACCATTTTGCATCCGGGAAGTATCAAAAATGTGGCAAAATGCTTCCCTCTCCAAGTGAAAAAAAAACTTTGTTTTGAAGAGCGCGCCTTTTTTCCTCACAAAAAGAGTTTTTGCACTTGGAGAGGGGCGTATTTTGCCACATTTTTGATGCTTCCTGGATGCAAAGTGGTACATTTTTTGTCACTGGATCAGTTCCCCCACTGTAGTCAAAATAGATTTTTGGTTTTTTCTGTGACGACCTACTGATATTGATGAGCAGTGGACATGTTCTTTTGACTTTGTGGGCATTATTCGTAGGAGTTGAGGATCAATTTCTCAAGCAATTTACCAGGCCAAAAGTCCTGACATGTCTGCAAAGTCCGCGGTCTGCGAAAAAATCTCAAGACTTTTTTGTCTGCCTTGTGAATTCCTTGGGCTTGATGCCCAACCCTAATGAATCACGCCACAAAATTACAAGAACAACATCTTGATTCTCGTGAGCGTTTTTTTTAATTAGTTTATTTGAAGGTTCAAGTCAGAACACAAGCCCTAATACAACATTCTTCGTATCAAGTGAAAGAAAATGTTTGTTTCAGGGAGACAAATTTAAGTGACTACCTGTTTCTACCGTGGAGTGTAATGTTTCCACAAAAACTCTAGTTCTTCCGCGCGAAACTGGCGATGGTATTTCCAAAAAATTTGAAAGTCTACAGAATTTCGGAAAAGCATAATACTAGGTGGTCCAAAAAGTACTAACATGTTCATTTTGCAGCTTCAAATTACACCGTGCGGGCATGTCAAGACTTCTTGGCCCACCTATGTATTATTGCGCCTTTCAAAAGTAGTCCGTAGACTTTTTTTTGACCGTATCTTTACCAGTTTCGCGCTGGAAAAATTGATTTTTTGTGGAAACATCACACTCTACAGAAAAGCAGGTGGCCACTTCCTCTGCGAAGCAGACACTTTCCTTGTCTTGATAAGGAGAATGTTGTCTTAGGGCCTGTGCTCTGGCTTGAACTTTTTGTGAGATCAAACAGAAACCAACAAATTTTTTTGCACCCTACGAACCCTACACTAGAACATACACTAAAATACCGCACGTGATTTTCTCTTTTTTTGCACGCGTCGGCAGATAAGGCGCATATCTAGTCCTGCGAAAATTGCTTGCGCTTTACAGGGAAAGCCGAGATACTCAACCACTTTTGCGGACGAGAGAGTACGCGAAACGCGGAGAGCGGCCAGAGAGATACACTTTACGGCCATACCTTTGATAGGCCCGCACAGAAAAAAATTGATTTTCTTTTTTGAGGAAACATCACCCTCTACGGTAGAAATAGGCAGCATATTTACCTTTCATGCCAAAATTCGCAGAAAAACTGTCGCATATTCAATTCAATTTATGTAAACTAATCACATGCAAAAAAAATCATGGAGTGAATCATAATGGTTTCCATTGTTCGGTCAGGGTAAGATCGCTCCATCGGAGGCAATGAGTCTTGCCAGCATTGTCGATCCATTCGATCCTGAAGCGCCCAAACGGTCGTGCATAGGGGGATGCCGAATTGATGCTGATCCCTCCCGTTTCCAACGATTTCTTGAACTGCCCCAATTTTCCCTCGTTTTGGATTGATTTTTAAATGTTAAAGCATTGACGGTAGAAACTTGGGTAAAAGTTCCTTATTTTGGCCACAACTTATAACTTTGCGGAAACTGGTCGGGATTACCCCAAATTTAGCGGGTACGCTCAATTCATCGTTGTCAATGCCCGGACAGTGGATTTACTTAGTGAGGTCCCTTCTTTTTTACGTACCACCTTACCCTTCAAAAACGGCTGCAGCCTGTGATTTTACACTTTATACGATGGAACATGTCCGGAACTAAACTTATTGCCTCCGTATGGAACTAAATGAGTCGTCACAGCCTTCGTAGGTACCCTTAAAACTATAGAGCTATTATAGTAATTCAGTGTCAGCTAGGTCGAAGCGTTTTTTCCTAACTTTAGTGCCCAAGCTGGGGCGCAGTTCGCGGAGTGCCTTTGTTGTGGCCAAAATAAGGAACTTTTTCCTGATTTTTAAATGTTAAAGCATTGACGGCAGAAGCAATCCATTACGATGAACAGCTACGGTCCCAGGCTTAGCCCTTTGTGCCCGGAACGGCATGGGTGGACAGAAAAAACCGACCGCTCTCCAGGAAGAAAAAGTTGGAATCTCAACTGACGCATGTCTTTCAAAAAAATAATCTAAATTTTTTGCCGAGTTTCATCCAAATTTAAGGTCCGCAGTCCAAGTTTTTCACCTCTGTTATGAATAAATATTTAAGAACTCAACAGAGGAGAAGTCAGTCAAATTCTAGGCCAAAATTTGCTTCGGTACAATGATGTGTCTTTGAAACGAAAACATATTTTTTGTTATCAGTCTGTCGGGAAAATAATGAGCTCCCTGTCGCATCTAAAGTCGTATCGCCGCGGAGAAACTGAATTGTCTCGCCGCCGAACTAACAAGGGAAGTACCCCAAGTGCGACGCTCGGATTTTCTTTAAATTTTGCACACACGTCGGGTATGGACTAAATATCAATTCCTGAAACATTTAGCTCGCGCTTTGCAGGCGCCGCTGAGATATTGAACGCTTTTTGCCGCCGAGAGAGCACGCTAAACGTGGAGAGCGGTCAGAGAGAAAAACGCTTTTTGGCCATAACTTTGGCAGTTTCGCGCGGAAAAATTTGATTTTTTGTAGAAACATTATCCTTTACGGTATAAATTGGCATGAAACTTTTCGTGCTGAAATTCGGCAAAAAGTCCTAAATTTTCGCCGACTTTCGATCTAAAAATCTCGGTTGTTTCTGAAAAGCGCGAGCTAGGATTCTCGCATACATCTTAGAAAAAAATATTCTAAATTTGTGCCGAGTTTCATCAAAATCCGAGCGTCGCACTTGGGGTACTTCCCCTGTAAGTCGAATTACTTTTCACTTTAGCGACGATTTTGGATGCGACAAAGTGCTGACTATTTTCCCGACAGACTGATAAGGAACTCGTTGTACACCAACATTATAGATAGTTTTTTTATTCATTGATTCTTTGATTGTATACTTTCAGTGTGCCCGAATGGCCGTCAGCTCTTCCTAGGCGGGCGCAATCCCGCTTCCTCGATTGTTTGCGCCTCTCCGGACGAGGAGGACCGCTGTCCGGACGGCTACACGTGCACCGAGAGCGCCACAAACTTTGACAAAGTTCATGGCCAATCGAACAGTGTCTGCTGCTCCGAATGAATCACAAAAACAACGCCTTAAAAGGCGGTGTGAAGATGTACAGAACCTTGAACTTTTCGGTTCGCTTAAAGGACCAATTAATCCATCACGGGATTCGTTCTATTTTGTGACTTCTCTACGTGATTAATCGCACCTCCACGAATTCCGATAATAAAACCGTTTGACGAAGAGAGATGACGAACTCCAAGTTTTAACTGTTGGGGAAGTCGGCGATAATTTATCGCTTCGTTTCACGTTCGCCGATCACGCGAACTATCTCTTGGAAAAAATTTGTCTAAATTTGTACCAAGAAGTTTCATCAAAATCTGAGCGTCGCACATTGAGTAGATATCAGTCTGTCGGGAAAATAATGAGCAAAATGTCGCAGCGGAAATCGCATCGCTCCGCTGAGAAAATGAATTGTGTCGCGGCAAAATCAAATTTCTTTTCACTTTGCGATTGGCGCATCAACATTATGCTCATTATTTTCCCGACATATAGAGATAAATCTGAAGTGAAAAGCAATTCAATTTTGCCGTGACCACAATTCATTTTTTCGATGGCGATGCGATTTGCAATGCGACAGAGTGCTCATTATTTTCCCGACAGGCTGATATCTACTTCATGTGCGACGCTCAGATTTTGATGAAACTTGGTGCAAATTTTTGAATATTTTTTTCTATGAGGTATGCAAGACTCCTAGTTTGCGATTTTCGGAAATAACCGAGATTTTTGGGCCGAAAGTTGGAAAAATTGAAAAAAAAAATTTTTTTTGCGAACCTTCGGGATGAAAAGCTTTGTGTCTATTTCTACTGTAGAGAGTAATGTTCCCACAAAAAATCATTTTTTCCGCACGAAGCTGGCGAAGATACGGCCAAAAAGTTTTCCTCTTTCACTCTCCACAATTCGTATACTCTCTCGGCCACAAAGACCGTTGAATATCTCAGCTCTCCCTGCAAAGCGCAAGCTAAAATTTTCAAGATATAAGCACACATATTGTAGCTAGGATAATACGTAGCCTAGCTACAATATGTGTGCAAAATTATAAAAAATCCAAGCGCCGCAAAAAAAGACGACTCCATTTTTAGACTGGATTGTTTTTCTTCGAATGCTGCACTATCAAGGACATGTAGTACACACAAATTGACCCCTGAAAAGTTCACTTCGCGCTTTGTAGCTAAAGCCGATTTATGAAACGATTTTAAGGCGAGAGTCTATGGAAAATGAGGAGAGACGGCCAGAGAAAAAAACACATTTTCTTCCGTATTTTTGAGGCCTTAGGTTCTGTAAAAAATTCTCTCCATATTCACACAAAAATCGAGAAAAATCACGTACATTCCGCATATCAGTCTGTCGGGAAAATGATGAGCACTCTGCCGCAGCGAAAATCGCATCGCCCGCCGAGAAAACGAACTGTGTCGCGGCAAAATCAAATTGCTTTTCACTTGGGATCGGTCCTGCGACAATGCGCGCATTATTTTCCCGACAGACAGAGTATGTATCTGAAGTGAGAAGCAATTCGACTTTGCCGCGCACAATTCATCTTCTCGACGGCGATGCGATTTTCAACGAATTTTGAAACGGCAGAGTGCTCATTATTTTCCCGACAGATTGATATGCGGAATAGACGTGATTTTTCTCAAGTTTTGTGTAAATATGAAGCAAATTTTTACAGAACACAAGACCTCGTAAAATACGGCGCAAATAGTTCTTTTCTCTCTGGCCGTCTCTCCTCATTTTCCATAGACTCTTGCCTTAAAATCGTTGCATATTCTCGGCTTCAGCTACAAAGCGCGAAGTGAACTTTTCAGGGATGCGATTTTCGATGCGGCAGAGTGCTCATTATTTCCCCGACAGACTGATATTTCGGCCTAAAACTCTGATTTTTCTCTGCAAATCGGCAGCTAAAAATTTTGCATTTGCCTTTGAAAGCATTAATTTCAATTTTCGCCACGTTTTATCGAATTCTGCAATCTTCTTTTTTACGTTACAATACACCAGATCATCCGTTTTTTCGATCTTTAACGCCTTTTTACCGTAATCCACTTCCCCAGCCAGCCATTACTACGAGTTCGGAGCATGCTGAAGTCGCAGAACCAACAAAAAATTTTTATCTTTTTTCCAATTTCTCCGCCGATAAACAAACTTTATTTTTCTCCTTCCAATGGCGAGGCAGCCACGAGACGCGGGCTACCGTAATCCCGGCATCTTTAAGCTCCGAAAAAGTGTGCGTTCACTGGATTGTTTTTCAAACTGAGGATTGTCACGTCATCTAAACAAAGTCACGTCCCGGCACGCTTCAATGAAACGATTCTGCAATGTTACAACCGATCGTTGTCGCTCTACCATAAATAATCCAAACGCAAGTTTTTGGTGTTAAAAATAGTCGAGTTCATAGTCTAGCCGAAATGGAGTGAAACATGCAAACCTCCGAAACGGCATGTGTAACGAGATGTGCCCGAATGGAGCCATAAATGGCGTGTACAATAAGTTTTCTTGTAGTGGCGGGCGCGCAGGGAGATAAAAAGTCTTTTCGGTCTCTGTTTGATCTCTCAAAAGGTTCAAACCAGAGCACAAGCCCTATTAAAACATTTTTCTTATCAAAAAAAGGGAAATACGTATTTCGCGGAGAAGAACTCGACTTTTCAGACAGACAAATGCGATTATTTAAAGTGCAAATAACGCATCTATATAAGGAGTCTCATGAAATTGTAAGAGTCTCCTTGAATTTTGAGGATATAATCCATAACAGCTGAGGAGCAAAAAGTTCCGGGCCGGGCCCAATTTACACTCTTTTGCCATCTGACCTTGCCCATGGGAAGATCAGGCGATGGTCCGAGAAAAAAACGCAGAAAATCAATTTTTCCACCACAACGTACCGAACGAAATTAAATGACCCAGACGAAGAGTTCAAACGATGAATCACGTGGTGAAAAAATCGGGAATGATTAGAACAGAGTGAGGTTTTCTCGGTCTGTTTAGACCGCTGGTGCTGCTTCTAACAGCTTGTCATTAACTCTTGTTGAAAATTGCCGAAAATGTGAAAAATCTCGGCAGTTCCGGCAAAACGACAGCCAAAAATCTCACATACATTTTGGGAAGTTCTAATCTTAACTTGTGCCAAGGTTTCATCAAAATCTAGGCGTCGAACTTTGAGCACTTTCCTTGTAAAATTGGATCAATTTACTTCTCAAGGGAAGTGCTCAAAATACGACGGCTAGATTTCGATAAAACTTGGCACAAGTAAAGATTAGGGCTTCCTAAGATGTATGTAAGATTTTTAGTTAGCGCTTTGCAAAAACCACTCAGGTTTTTCAATCGAAAACTTGCGAAAATTCCACATTTTCGGCAATTTTCAGCAAGATTTTGATGACAAATAGTTTGAAGTAGCACCAGTGTTTTTTTCAAAGTTTTGGCGATTTTTTTAACCATGTCATGCGTTGTTTCACCCCCGCCGTCTGGGGCATTCCGACCTTGACCTGTCTGCGAACGGTAATCCTAATCAATTAGTCGTGTTTTCTGCTGCGAATTTTGGCTTTCTTCGCCCTTGTGTCCTTTCCGCCAAAGGGCACAAGAAACTTGAAAATTTTATAGCCAATGGCAAATGGCCAGTTTTATCGGGGAAAGATTTTTTATTTCGCTGCGAAGTTGCTTATCGGTCGCCAAACAAATTCGCCAAAACGATTCAATGAGCACGACAAAAAAGATAACACACCTCTTATGCCTTTGAATTCGGTTTTCGTAGCTTTAAGGGCACTTGACTTTGATGAAACTTGTCACAAGTACGTCCAATCTTTTGTTTACATTCTCGAGACTTTTTTTACAATCCGCTTTGCAGACATCAACAAGATTATGTTACAATAAGTCGAGACGTTGTTTCAAGCAGTCTTTCGGAGGCGTAGTTTTAGTCCCTGCAAATGCACTTTGCAGTCGCAAATCACTGCCAGACTAGACTACGAACAACGGGTTCGTCGGGTGTAAAAAAACTTTTTGGTCTCAAATTGATCTCACAAAAGGTTCAAGCCAGAGCACAAGCCCTAAGACAACATTCTTCTTATCAAGTGAAGGGAAATGTTTGTTTCGTGGAGAAATTAATTGACTACCTGTTTCCACCGCAGAGTGTAATGTTTCCACAAAAAACCCTTTTTTCGCCGCAAAACGTGGACCAAAAATTCCTGTTTCCGCAATGTGCGAATGAAAAACGCAATGCACTTTGATTGCCCTTTCCAAAAGAATCCATCTCGTACTCTGCGTGATCGCCGTGCACCGTGAATTTTACTCGTCGCTGTGCGAGGGCGACAAGTAAAATTCACGATGCATTGTGACCCACCAAGTGCAAAATACAGTGGGGACCTGATCCAGTGGCAAAAAAAGTACCATTTTGCATCTGGGAAGTATCAAAAATGTGGCAAAGTGCAGCCCTCTCCAAGTGAAAAAACTGCGTTTTGAAGGGCGCGCCCTCTCCCTAACAAAACGAGAAGTTTTTTCACTTGGATAGGGAAGCGTTTTGCCACATTTTTAAGACTTCCCGGATGCAAAATGGTACGTTTTTTGCCACTGGATCAGATCCCCGCTGTAATTTTTTTTTTTTTGAAAAGGGCAATCAAAGTACAGTGCATTTTTCATTCGCACATTACGAAAACAAGAATTTTTGGTCCATGTTTTGCGATAAAAAAATGGTTTTTTGTGGAAACATTACACCACTCAACGGTGGAAACAGGTAGTCACATAATTTCTCCCCGAAACATACACTTTCCTTCACTTGATAAGAAGAATGTTGTCTTTAGGTTTGTGTTGCCCTAAGATTGCGCTCTTCTTTCAAATCCCGCCGAATTTTATCATCCTCGCAACGCCATAATCACGCACAAAACATGACCAGACTTTTTGCCTGCCTAGTAAAAAATTCTAGCGTAAATATGGGCCAATTTAAACAAACTCAGCAAACGCGCAGCGTTAGTTTTCTGATCTGTAATCTTCCAACTTTTCATTTAGTTTATTCCCAGAATTCAAGTTGTTAATGCACTTTGAAAGTCGGGGAATTTATTCCAACGAAAAAAATCAACCTTTTCCCTTCGAAGATTCCCAGAATTTTGGAGGCAACCGACCAATTAAACGGTTCCGGTTTGGGGAATGAGATTAAATTAGGAGCAGGTATGCATGCATTCCCTTTGTTCGCAAATTCGTTGGGGCTAAAAATCTCGCTGTTTTCGCCGAATTTTGGGTCGATTCGCGTTCAAACTTTTTCGCAGCGATTTTACTGGATGAAAAATACGTACTGGAATTTTGAAAAATTTTGGTGAAACTGGGCATAAATTCAGATTTCCAGCTTGCTCTTAGCAGAAACACCAAGGTTTTAATCCCAAAAAATCCCATTTTTTTTTTGGGATTTTCGAAGTTAAATCCAAAATTTTGCAATTTCAATCGCAGGTTTGATGACGCAAATTTAGATTAGAATTTCCTATGGTATATGGTAGATTTTTAGCTCGCGCTTCGCTTAAACCATCGATATTTTCAGTCCAAAGCATCCCAAAGATAAAATTTTTTTGGGATTTTCAAACAGAAAATTTCAGTTTCCGTTTGAAGAGTTGAGCTCAATATTTCTACAAAAAGTTAATTTTTGCGGCTCAAATTCGCAAAGATCTGACTGAAAAGCGCTTTTTTCTCTTCCCGAATCTCTTCATTTTCCATACTCTCTCGTCTGCAAAGGCAGAAACGCGTCTTGCAGACAGCAGAATGGAAAAAAAAGAGTTTCAGATCGAGGAGAAACGCTATTTCGACAGATTTTTGCAATTCGAGTGGCAAAAATTAACTTTTTGTAAAAATATTCAACTCAGCGCTTCAAATGGAAACTGAAATTTTCAATTTGAAAATCCCGAAATTTTTTATCTTTGGGATGCTTTGGAGTTGTAAATATCGATGTTTTCCGCAAAGAGCGAGATAAAAATCTACCATATATCATACGAAATTGTAATCTAAATTTGTGTCATCAAACCTGCGATTAAAATTGCAAAATTTTGGATTTTCCAAAAATTCCAACTTTTTTGCTCAGCTAAGCCTATGGAATCAAAAACCTCACATTCCAAGTACAAATTATCGTTACTCACACTCAACTGCATCCAAAAAACGTTGTTCCGACAAACGTTTTTTTACTAGAAAACCAAACAAGACCTCAAAAAAAAGTGATCTCCGAAAAGTCACGTACGTATTTTCTATTTTGCAATAGCGAAACACGATATCAGAACTATTATTTTGTAGTCTTAATCACCCCGTTTTCCCCGTTCAAAGTACGTTTCAAAGTGCACATGACACTCTGGTGATATTTTTATATTATTCATGACAAAGTAAAATAAAAATTCTAGTTTTGGTTTTGAAAACAAGTAAATTGGATTGCTCATCAACTATGAACAAATCTTAATCATTTTCGCTTCGCAAAGTTATATAAACCAAGTGAAATTACAAGTTTAGGTCCAAAATTTACATGATTTATGAAGATTGGAGGTCTCCTACATTTTTTGAAGTTCTTTTTTTGTCTTACCCACTTAACACACCTCTAGCTACAATTTCAACTCTAACTTGACCACCTATCCTCCTACATCGGCAATGTTTTACCTTACTTTAGCATCTGATACCATGAATCATCTAAACTAATATAAAAGCTGCCTCCCTTCAAAATTTCCCTTTCCTCCGTCTGAATAGACCATAAAATACAGGTTTAGTCTTGAACGGCTTCTGAACATCAAAGGAAATGCAATAATTTACCTTATCTTCACATCCTACACATCAAATCACCTAAAGTAAGATAAAAATCTCGCTGCCGTCGAAGGCTCCGCGCGTAAACAGAGAAGAGCACACTCAGAGGTCCTGACTACGGTACCCCAATGTCCAATCAAACTCCAACGGCCTACGTGACTTTCCCCTCCCCTTTTTCTCTGCCCGCCCTCCGCATTTCGCCCACTCTCTCGCGATCTGCTGCGCCGATTGAGGGGGGAAGAAAACAAACGAGCGCCTAACTTCCACCCCACCCATGCGTACGTGACTTTCCCCAACCCCCACGCGATATAAAAGCCCCCGGGCACCAGCATTCCCATCAACAATGTACACAAGGGGCGCGGGTAATCGACGGGGGTTTTCGGTGTGTTGATGGATCGGCGAAAACGACCGGCTCCCCCATCAGCGTCCGTCGTTCCGTCTCTCCGGGCTAGCATGCAGGCAGATTCTCTGCCATCTGCGGCGACGGGGGGCGACGAGCGCGGACATTGCCCCATCATTATTACTGCCCATCCCAAAAAAGGGCATTCCTGGGGCAAATTCCTCCAAAAACCCTGCGCGCGCCCTCGATGTTTTCGCATCGGAGGAGTCGACTTTGAGCCCGGGGATGTCCCTTCACTGGAAATTACCGTGTTTTCCCTTCTTATCACACCGAAAGTCAAGCTCATATTACTTTAGGTGCAAAGTAGAGAAAAGTGGTCGGAAAGCGAGCTATTTCGCATTTTTAGAGGCTGGGAATTCATTTTTAAGGAGTATTATGAACTTCTACAGCATTTTGACTCATAATTTATCAATATTTTAGCAAAAATTGATATTACTTTAGTTGCATAGTATAGAAATTTGATCTAATTGGACCGAGTTTAGAATTTTTAAATGTCACAAATCAATTATTTTTTAATATCACGCCCTTCTACGCCATGTTCAACTAAATTTTGGGGGTTTTAACATAAATTTATATTATTTTAGGTAACAAAACTTAAAAATTTGTCTCAAATTTGCGAATTTGTTGTACTAGAAACCTAAAAACTCATTTCGCACAATACTACGCCCTTTCACAACGTATCCGTGCCAAATGTCGGTGTGTTCGTCCAAAAAATTATATTACTTTAGAGGACTTTGAGATAAAACTACAAAATTTCCCCTCAACCAAGTGGGATTACGCTTTAAGAGGCTCAGAAAATGTATTCGAGGGCAATATTGCTTCAGATTAATACAATTTCCCGCTGAATTTGGGCCGTTTCCTCCAAACCCCGTGTTATTTTAGGTATGAAACCGGATTTCTCCGTCCGCGGAGCGCGAATTACAACGTTTGAGGGCGATTGTTTCCAGGCAGGCTCTAGTTTGGTTTGTGTTTGCGTTTCTGCACAAAAATTCCCGTCTGTTTTTTACGTTTTTTTTTGTGCGTACGTGCCAGTTGGGAAGACAAACTGGCCCATATTTTCGCAGACGGTTTTGGTTGGTTTAACCGTCTCATAAGCCACAAACCCCTCCTCTTCCCCATGCGATCTCTGGTTTATTTATTTAGCAACATTTTTCGCGAAAATTTTCGCAAAACTTTGGTTTTATACCTAAAATAATATTGTTCTTGAAAAAGCTCGCGAATCCCGCGATTTCCGCCGCTTTTCGGCGATAACACAGTAAATTGGAGGTGTTTCAGAATCCGCCACGCCACTCACGACGATACGATTGCATTTCCACTCGCGTTTCGGCAGGTTTTCATGAAAATGCACGAGATTTACAACGAGATCAGTGCGGCGATCGCGTTTCGCACCATTCCGGTGAACCTGAGCCGCTTCCTCGGCGACGTGAAGCCCTCGGCCCGCGCCCACCACACCAACTCCTTCGGCTGGAACCTGCAGATGACGCTGGTGCTGGGCTGGGTCGGGTTCGTCCTGCTCAACACGTTCGTGGCGCCCTTCAAGGTGAGCCACGTGAACCTGCGGCACGCGTTCGGCGGGCTGTTCAGCTCGCGCGGCAGTCGGCTCGACTTTTTGGACGTGTTCCGGGTGGTAGCCATTGTGTGGGTGATGGCCAATCATCTGGGCAGCGAGGGCCGAATCGACATCTTGGAGAGGAAACCGAGCGCTGAAATGTTCAAGGTAAGGGTTTGGGGTGGGAAAAGTTGCTCGGAGGATTAAAAAAAACATGTCATTTTTTTTACTGGAATGCCTGTCAGTGTCATGTCAGACGAAATTTCGACTTTCCAAAAAATATGTCATCATAACATATTTTCCAAAAAATATGTCATGATGACATATTTTTTGGAATATTCAAAAATCATAAAACATGTAATTTTTTTACTGGAAGGCCTGTCAGTATCATTGCAGACGAAATTTTGACTTTTTTCAAAATTCCAAAAAATATGTCATGATGACATATTTTTTGGAATTTTCAAAGATCACTGTAAAAATTGTCATAGACGTCTAATAGACCTTCCAAAAAAATTTTATCGCTAAAATAGGCCAATTTCGAAGTACTTTCTAAATTTTGACGAAATGTCACATTTTTTTGACATTTCGTTTTTTCCTCAAAAACCCGCAAAAAATCGCCGAAAATTGCCTAAAATACCCCTCATTTCAGGCCTCAGTCCACAACCACCCAATTCTCGGCGCGCTGCTGGGCAACTCCGCCTTAGGCGTGGAGATTTTCCTCGTTTTGTCGGGCCTGTTGGCGGCGCGCTCGTGGCATCGGCGCTCCGACCAATCCTTTCGTCATCACACGTTCGTCTTCCTGATCCGCCGCATCTTCCGCCTGCTGCCGGTGGTCGCGGTCTTCATTTTCTTGGCCGCCGGCCCGATTATGGCCAAGCTCCTGCCCCGCTTCCACAACACGATGATCAGCGAGTGTGGTGTGACCGGGATTTTGTCGCATCTGACGTTGACCTCCAACTGGCAGTCCGCTCCGACTTGTCTGGGATATCTGTGGTGAGTTTCTGTTCACCGTTTTGTTGGGTTTCGTGGGGTAAAATTGAGTTTTTTGAGGAAATTTTGTCAAAAATTCCCTAAAATAAGGTGTTTTGAAGGGAAAAGTTCGATTTTTCGATTTTAGATGCGATTTTTTTAAGAAAAATTATTTTTACTCCCTTTTTGAGAGCAAATAGGTTCTAATGATATCAATTTGCAGTCGAAACTATCAATTTTGAAATTTCGGTTACCTAAAGTAATATAATTTTTTGCTAAAAACAGACATTTTTTGTTCTAAAATTACGTTTTATCTCTGTCAAAAGATATTTTAAGCCCTAAAATTACGATTTACCCCCATTTTTCCACAAATTCGACATTAATTTTCGCCTTTTTTCAGGTACGTTGGACTAGACATGCAGCTCTATCTGATGGCCCCAATCCTCCTCCAACTCCTCTATCGTCGTCCTCGACTCGCGTTGGCGACAATTCTCGCCCTCATTGTTGCATCGGCCTTGCAACGCGCCCACATTTGCACCTCCTTCAACGTGTGCAACAAGTCGGATGTGGACATTCCTTTCATCTCGTTCGCGGGGCAGACCGCCGACCAGGTGCGGCAGGTGTACGCCGGCTTGTGGGAGATGTACGGGAGGCCCTGCACGAAGGCCGGGCCCTTCCTCATCGGGCTGGTTTTGGGCTTCGCGACCAGCAATTTGGAGCTGAAAATCCGCGCGCGACTCGCCTCTCGAATCGCGTTGTTGGGAATGGCGCTAGCCGTAATTATAATCTACGCGATCCTCCCGGAATACTGGTATCCCGACGCCGGCAACACCCTCTACAACACGCTGTACACGGCCCTGTTTCGGACGACTTTTGCGCTCGCGGTGTCAAGTGTCATTTTCGCCCTCTTCTACAGCGAAACCCCCACCGCCGTGAGTGGGGTGTGGACCGTGTTGGCCAAACTCACCTTCAACGTGTACTTGTGGCACATGCCGGTGGTGTATTTGTTCAATTTCGTGCCCTTCTATCAGACCGCCACTTCAGCCATGGTGTTGTTGATATTGCTCCCATTTTTGGCGATTCTGTCGTTTTTCGCCGCCTTTTTGTTCTATTTATTCGTTGAAGACCCAATTGCACGGATCTCGGGCGCTCTCCTTCAGAAATTGTAATCCAAATTTTGAATTTTTTTTCGAAATTTTCATTTTTTTGGAAATTTTTGACTTTTTCGAAATTTTTATTTTTTTTATTCTCCCATAACTTCCAAAGTTGTAAATCCTTCGGTTCCACGAGCTTACTTGTACATTCTTAACGGGTAGACGTCTTCAACTCATATCGCTTTACTATTAATATTGTAATCAGCACGGAAATATTGTGATATTTAACAATAAATCTAAAATTATATCAAAATTTTTCGGAATGATAAATGAAATTGCAAATTGCAATTGGTTTCGATGGCGAGAACAATTTTTCTACCAATAAATCACTTTTTCCCCCCATGAAATTCGCAGAGAAATGGGGAAAAAGGGTTTTCTCTGACCACTCTCCGCATTTCGCATACTCTCTCGCCGAAAAAGGTCGTTCAATATCTCAGCTGCCTGTGGAAATTTGGCGCTGAAATTTTCTGCAGTTCATATGCAGCCTATCTACGATGCGTATGCCATATTTCACGGGGTAAAAGTAAAAAAAAAATTTATTTTTTTTATTTTTTCAACAAAAAAATCAACAATTTTTAAGCGTTTTAGGCCTCTAGGGCTTCTTGTTTTGCATTGTTGATCTCTTTTTTGTACCTTCCTCTCCCAATGTTTCCAGGGAAATGGGAAAAAAAGGTTTTTCTCTGACCGCTCTCCGCATTTCGCATACTCTCTCGGCGGAAAAAGTCGTTCAATATCTCAGCCGTCTGCGGAAAGTAAGAGCTGAAATTTTTTGGAGGTGATATGCAGCTTATCTACGATTAGTATGCAAGATTTCATGGGATAAAAATAAAATTTTTTTTTATTTTTAAAAATTTTTTCAACAAAAAAATTCAACAATTTTTCAGCGTTTTAGGCCTCTAGGGCCTCCCGTTGTCCATTTTTGGTCTCAGTTTTGTACCTTCTTGTCCCATTTTTTCCAGGGATATCGGGGAAAAAAGATTTTTCTCTGACCGCTCTCCGCATTTCGCATACTCTCTCGGCGGAAAAAGTCGTTCAATATCTCAGCTGTCTGCGGAAAGTGGGAGCTGAAATTTTCTGGAGTTGATATGCAGCTTATCTACGATTAGTATGCAAGATTTTGTGGGATAAAAATAAAAAAAAATTTACTTTTTTTTATTTTTCAACAAAAAAATCAACAATTTTTTAGCGTTTTAGGCCTCTAGGACTTCTCGTTGTCCATTTTTGGTCTCATTTTTGTACCTTCCTCTCCCATTGTTTCCCGGGATTCGCTTCACGCCCTCGGATTTGTCGACAAACTCGCGTTTGAAGAAGCGAAACCAAAAAAGGAGGGGTTCGAAACGTCCGTCATACTGCACTTCGGGCTGTTTTGCGGTCTGCACTTCGCGAACGGCGTAGTAAATGGCCTCAATTGTGGCTAGACACTCGTCATTGTAATTCTTCTGCAAAAATTGGGTAAAAGTTTAAAAAAAAAGAGGTGAAAATTGTGGTTTACTATGTTCGTATATGCCAAACTTCAATTTCAAATTGACTTTTGTGTCCTAAATGACATTTAAATACAGGGTGCGGCAATTTTTCGGCCGGATTTGAATTGGCTATAACTTTTTTAGTTTTTATCCGAATTTTAAAATTCTTTTTTTCCCTGAATTCTCAGACAACCCCATTTTGTTTAATACCAAATATGTTATATATACAGGGACCTAGTTCATAGTTATTGGCCTTTCGGTCGTTTTCTCTGCTTTTTCGGCGTGTGTGAAGATCGCCAGAAAACATGACTTTTTTTTACGAATTTTGTCGTAAAAAGTTTCATGCCTGTTCATGCCATGGAGAATACCGTTTCCACAAAAAATCAGCTATCTCCGCACAAAACTAGCGAGGATATAGCCAAAAAGTTTTCCTGCGTGACCACTCATGTGCCCTCCTGACCGCAAAGAATCGTTGAATATCTTGGTCGCCCCTGAAAGATGCGGGCTGAAACTTTCAGGAATTGATGTGTGGCCTATGTCCGGCCCATGTGCAAAATTTAAAGAAAATCTGGGGGTCGCACTAGGGGTAATTCCATTGTCAGCTATGAAAATTAGAGATTTTTCTTTGTCTCGAATTTTTACTGTAGTCTAACGAACGGGTATAACATATTTGGTATTAAACAAAATGGGGTTGTCTATGGATTCAGGGAAAAAAAGAATTTTAACATTTGCCCAAAAAATAAAAAAGTTACGGCTAATTAAAATCCGGCCGAAAAATTGCCGCACCCTGTACTAATTTCATCCATTTTCCCGGCTAAAAATACTAAAAAGCTGAGGAAAAATTCAAATTTTCCTTAATATTGGGTCGTCCAGAAAGTTCGTTCGTTTTTTTCACAGGGGAAGTACTCCAAGTGCGACGCTCAGATTTTGATAAAACTTGGCTCAAATTTAGAATAATTTTTTCTAAGATATATGCGAGAATCCTAGCTCGCGCTTTGCAGAAACAACCGAGATTTTTAGATCGAAAGTCGGCCAAAATTTAGGACTTTTTGCCGAATTTCGGCACGAAAAGTTTCATGCCTATTTCTACCATAAAGAATAATGTTTCTACAAAAAATCAAATTGTCCCGCACGAAACTTCCAAAGTTATGTCCAAAAAGCGTTTTTTTTTCTCTCTGACCGCTCTCCACGTTTAGCGTGCTCTCTCGGCGGCAAAATCGTTCGATATCTCGGCTGTCTGTGGTAAGTGGGAGCTAAAATTTTCAGGAATTGATATTTAGTCCATACCCGACGTGTGTGGTAAATTTAAAGAAAATGTGAGCGTCGCACATCAAACTGACAGGGGAAGTACTCCGGAATACCTTTTCTGAACTTTCCCCAATCCGAACTCTCCCCCTTTTTCAACTCTCCCCCAAAAAAGGCGGAACTCTCCCCCTTTTTTGATTTTCACCAAAAAATCTGAACTCTTCCCTTTTTTGAACACTCCCCCATTGTGAAAATTGAAAAACTGAGCTGTGACATGTTATACGATAAAAAATTTTTTCAAATTGAGAAAAATTGGGTGTGACATCTTATACGATGAATTTTTTTTCAAATTGAGAAAATTATTTGAAAAAGAATTCCACCGTATAACATGTCACACCTCAGTTTTTCAATTTGAAAAAAACTTTCATCGTATAACATGTCACACCTCAGTTTTTCAATTTGAAAAAAAAAATTCATCGTATAACATGTCACACCTAATTTTTTCAGTTTTCAAAATGAGGGGGAGTGTTCAAAAAGGGGGAGAGTTCTACCGCAACGAAATCTCTCAAATTCGTAGAAAAAAATCGCATGCCTGCGGTCGCCAATACTCCGTAGTGTATTTTTTAAGCGCCACACATGGTAACTTTCGGAGCTGCGGCATATTTCGCAGCTGGCCGACCGCATTCCAAGTGGAATCCAGGACAATCAAACGTCTCAACGCCGGCCTCTGCTCCAAAAACTGATCTATCGGGAGGGCGGATTGTGACGGAAATATGATCGCGGTGTCCGCGGCATCAAATTGTGGGATCTCGGGCGCCGGGAAGTCGTAGAATTTGGTGCTGCAAGGAGCCGCCAATTGGCAGTGAATGGCGGTGGATTTGGCCGCTTTTTCGGCCGGATGCTTGATGATTACCAACTCGATTGGTAGCTGCAATCATTCTACGATAAAATCACATCAATTCCTCTTCAAAAAAAAACGCAAAAAAATTGCCAAAAAATCGCAATTTTTTATATTATCCATGACAAAAAATTTCAAAAATTTCACCTCAATCTCTTCCGGAACCAGGCCGGCAATACCGTCCATGTAGATTCGACAGTCGTAGCAAAAATAGAGCCGTTTCTTGCCGCATTCTCGGCAAGTTTTGCGTTCTCGGAGCTCTCCGAGACGATCAAATTGGTGCTCCAACTGGGAATTTGATGCGAAATCCGAGGCCATAATCCAAATTTGGGCTAAAATACGACTTATAAAGTCTTGAAAGTCGATTTTAAATTGAATGTGTCCAATTCCGGTCGATTTTTTCCCGGACATGTTTCATCGTATAAAATATCGCCAAAGGTAAAAATGTGAAAAAAGTGTAAAAAATGGCTCAGTCGCATTAAAAGCCATAAAATCAATCAAATTAAACTGAATTTGTTTAATTCCGGTCGATTTTTTCCCGGACATGTTTCATCGTATAAAATGTCACCAAAGAAAAAAACGTGGAAATGGTCAAAATGGCTCAATCGCATGAAAAAACTCGTAAAATAAATCAACTTAAACTGAATTTGTTTAATTCCGGTCGATTTTTACTCGGACATGTTTCATCGTATAAAATGTCACCATAGGTAAAAATGTGAAAAAGGTGTAAAAAATGGCTGAGTCGCATTAAAAAAGTCATCAAATCAAACATACAAGATTACAGCTCGTATTTTACACGTATATCCACTAATTTCCAGAAAATCCGTCATCATGACATGTTTAATTTCGCTTTTAATCAAAAATTTCCTCTTCTACTACATTTCTCTCGTCTAGAACAGCATTACCGCATGTGGCTGACCCATTTTACCTCTCCATTTCTCCGATATACATCATGATGACGTATTTTCTGGACATTCCAAAACTTCGACAAATATCATTTCCAGCATGTTTTTAACATAATCCTCTTCAAATTTACTCCATTTCTTCATTAAAATTCTTTATTCGAAGGGTCAAATAATAACGGGTAATTTTACATTCTCTCTAAAAATCTCAAAAAAATCGATGAAATTACAATTTTAAACTGTAGTACAGGAGGCGAAAAGAAAGTTCTACATGTAACTGGGTGATTTACACTATTATACATTTGGGAATTAGGAAAAAATCGACAAATCTCGCGAGGGGAATCGAAAAAATCAACAAAATCATGGATAATATCGGGAGGCGATATGACAGAGTGTCAAGGATCGAGAAAAAACCGTCCGAAAACAACTTTCAGACGTCTTGGCATAACATACGATATCCAAATATTGATGCGTCAGCTCGGAGGAACCGAGAATTCTCTACCAAAATCTACATGTTCACCTGTTTGGATGGGAAACCCGCTGGGGAATGGATTCGGAATCATCACCCGCAAACTACTACGCTATGGCCGCCTTTCAGGGGCTGAGGTCGCGTTCGCACTTCTTGAGGGCCTTGTTGTTGGAGGGGCGTTGCTTGATGCTGCCCGCGTCTTCCGCGCTCTTCCCGCCGATGGAGCCGCTCATCGCCAGCACCGAGGCCGACTCCTCGTTGTACGACTGGATTTCGGGCCCGGCGCCCGAGCACACCGTGTTCACGCTCTGAAAAGCACACTATACTTCCATTAGAGCCGGTTTTTTGGGCAAAAAACACAATTTTTTTGAAAATTTTTGCCAAGTGTAATATAAAAAATGTCAAAAAATTTCAAAAAATGTCATCATTTCACGTACTGTACTAGCATTAGAGTCAATTTTTTGGGCAAAAAACAAAAATTTTTCGAAAATTTTTGCCAAGTATAATATAAAAAATGCCAAAAATTTCAAAAAATTATCATTTCACACACTGTACTAACATTAGAGTCAGTTTTTTGGGCAAAAAGCATAACTTTTTTAAAAATTTTTTGTCATGGATAATATAAAAAATGTCAAAAATTTCAAAAAATGACATCGCAAATATTTTTCCACACAATATTATCTCATTCTAACTTGATTTAGTCCACACTCCTTCCTCTCAAACAAAAAAAAGTTTCAAAATTTCTACTATACCTACTACAATATAAAACTGCTCTCAAAAATCAAAAAATCTCAATTGTTCTAACTTCACACTCCTCTTACTGCCCTATTCTTTCATTTCCCACTTATTCAAACCACTATTCCCAATCTAACCCACAAAAATTTTCAAAAGTTTCATCTGATACCTACTACAATATAAAAAACCCCCTCAAACCCAAAAAAACCCACATTTTTTTGCTCTTACCTTATTATCAAAATGATAATGGCTTCCAGCGTTGGCTTTGGTGGAAGCGCATTCAAAATTGCACTTCTCTCCCATGCTGTTGATCCACGATTCCACCGAGATCTTCCGTTTCCTTTGATCTTGAACAGCAAGGCTGGGGCCGGCGGACAAGCTCGTGGATTGTTGCGAGGTGGTGTCTGCGGGCTGTGTGCTTCCATATTTGATGGGATGCGGGGTGGAGGGGTTGGCGCTGTTCGTGGAAGGGCCGGCCAAACTCGAGAAGCCGGAGTTGATGGTTGCGACCGAAGTTGCGTCGATATGGTCGCCTTCGCGGCTCTTTTTGGAGAGCAATCGGCTTCGTTCGGAGGCCGAGGTCCCTACTCTTAAACTGGAGAGGAAGTTGCGTCCGAGTTCGGCGTCTTCGGCGAGCTCCAAGAGGCGGGGCGACTTCTCCTCCTCGTCCGAGGTTTGAGCGGCGGCACAGCCGCCGTTCCGGCACAGCGAGAGGGGCACCACGCCGTAGACGTAGGCCAGCATGATGGGGACTCCAACTCCGACCGCCATCACGGCGAGGACCGGGCTTACAATCAGTGATCCTAAAAGTTTTATATTACACTTGACCTTGATGCTTTCTAGGTGTAAAAAACATATTTTTTCTGCAAATTTCAAATCAAAATCACTCGTAAAATATTTTACAAGCCCTATAGCACGATTTACAACTCAATTTCCGACTAAAATCATCAAAAAAATTTACAAATTTTCAAAAATTACCTTATTTTGGGTACCTTAACCATTCCTAGGTCTAAAAAATATATTTTTTCTAAAAATTTCAAATCAAAATCACTCGCAAAATATTTTTAAAACCCTAGAGCGCAATCTACAATTCAATTTGCCACTAAAATCATCAAAAAATTTGATAAATTTTAAAAAATTACTTGTTTTAGGTACCTTATCCCTTCCTAGGTCTAACAAACATATTTTCTCTGCAAAATTTCAAATCAAAATCACTCTCAAGATACTTTAAAAGCCCTAGAGCGCCACTTACAACTCCATCTTCCGCCAAAATCACCAAAAAAAATATAAATTTTCAAAAATTACCTTATTTTAGGTATCAAATTTTGCAAAAACCCTCTTAAAACGCCTAAAAAAACCCCTCCTTACCCGCCACACTGGCTGCCGTCACCAGTCTCCTCTTTCCCTTGGACTTTTGCTTGAATCTCTGATATGCTTTTCGACCCACAAACACCGGCACTCCGCATATTATTCCGGGGATGGCTAGGCCGGCGATTAGTGCGATTCCGACTGGGGCGCCGATCAGAGTGCCCACTTGCCACAACAACTTCTTCTTCCGGGTCCACGGCTTCTTTCCCCAGAAAGTGCAGCCAGTCGGGCTGAAAAAAATCACGGTCAATCGGGTAAATTAGCAAAAAATTAAACATTCGGGTAAAAGGAAGAACAATTTTTACTACTTTTTTTGAAATTTTAGGTATGTTATGGTCATATATGAGGTTTTTATTGCAATCCAAGCAATTTCGGAGGATTTGGAGAAAGTTGCGGGCAAAAATTTAACAAAAACTGAAGTTTTTTTCATGGATAATATAATTTTTGTCAATTTTTTGCTAAATTTCCATGTTTTGTCTTAGATTTTGGGGAATTAAGTTGATAAAAGATGTTTGTTCGATTTCTTGTCTGTTTTCTTTGAGGCAGACCAGAAATTTTACTTTTTTTACAATAAAAAAATCTGGTTTAAAAAAACAGGCAAGAAATCGAACAAACATCAATCTTATCAACTTAATTCACCAAAATCAAAGACAAATCATCAAAATTTAGCAAAAAATTGACAAAAATTATATTATCCATGACAAAAATTTCAAATTTTTTTAAATTTTTGCTCGCAACTTTCTCCAAATCCTCCAAAATTGCTTGAATTGTAATAACGAACCTAAAATTTTAAAAAAAAACTAATAAAAAGACTTCATCTCACCTCAAATAATGCAGATCGCTGATCTCCTTCAGGCACAGCCAACAAAAGTCGGCTTGGCACATTGGGCACACCATGTGATTGCAGCTTCCGTCATTCATTTTCACGATCAATGTGCCGCATCGAGGGCATGCTTTCAGATCACCGGCTAAAAAATTTTAAAAAATTATATTATCCATGACAAAAAAATCGTCTTTTTTTTGCATAAAATCTCAAAAATAAAAGAAACTTACGTTTAAACAGGTCGTTAGTGCCCTCAGTAGGTGAGTTAGAAGCTGTTGCGGCAGTGAACATCCGTTCTACGGACTGTCCGCGAGCCTCGTCGCAGGTCTGATTGGCATGCCATTCTCCTTTGCAGTGGTAACAGAAGAGTGTTCCGCATCCGGGACGCTGACATTCGAGCTGTGGACAAGCCGCACAGCCACTGGCAATCACGGCATAACTGAAAATTACGGGTAAAATCGGAAATTTATCTTATCCATGGCATTTGATCTAACTTCCGCAAAAATTATTAAATTTTTTCCAAATTTCTTTTAAAATCGAATGGCAAAATATCACTAGAACCACTATTTCTCCATTACATCATTTTACTTCTCGTTGAATCGTCTTATAAGACCAAATTCTCATCAACTTGTCAAGTGTAATATCACTTTTCCTAAAAACCAAAAAAAAATCGTCAAAATACTTACTCGCAATCCGGCGCAGGGCACCATCTCACATCTCCTTCTGTGATTAATACCTTGCGAATCATAAATCGTTCATATCGAAGTATCAATTGAGGATCAATCTTCAAAACTGCCTGGATGTCATTGGGATGGAGTTCGGTGATGCATTCTGGACAAGCCAACGAGATTCTGCTCTCCATAATCTCGATTTGCAGATACTGAAAATGACATTTTCACAAAATTGCAATTTTTCGCAATCGTTCGTATAAAATGTCACCCAAGGCTAGGGCGCAGCTCGAGAACCCAAAATCGACCGGAATTAGTGGGAATTTGTCGTGAATTGAGCCAATTAGATGGCAAATTAGCCGCTTACTCTGATTAGACATCGTTTGCAGGGTCGGTGATCGCAATTCCGCAGAATCGGGAACTCTTCCTCCTCTTGATGGATATAACAAACTTGGCACTCGCGCCTGCCCTCGCCCTCCTGGTCCGCCGGGCGCGACTCATCGATGGTCGACCAATACAGGGTGCGATCATTGGATGGGTTCATGGAGACATTGGCTGGCCGATACACATCCGACAGGTTGTCCGTGACCTGACAAACATCAAACGAAGTGCACGGGACGGACGGAAGCTGGATCTGATGCGGCTCCGCGACAGCCAAACTGGAGCCCGCGGCTTGTGGGTCGGCGCCGGATTGAGCGGGTAGCCTGGAAATCGGGGATTTTTAGATAATTTATATTACTTTAGGTAGTAAGGCGCAAAAAATTATTGCCAAATGCCAAAATTATTGGAAAGAAATATCAAAATACCATCTAAAACTATCAAAAAATCTTTTAGATACTTTGGAAAGCCTTTCATTTACCAAAAAATAACCAAAATTAACTGAACTCAACAAAGAATTGCCTAAAATAATATAAAATCTGAGAAATTAAAATCCAGCCTTGACAAAATCCCAAGTCTTATTTTAATTGTCAATTAAACATTGAAAATTAAGCATTACAGCTGATTGGAGACGGAAATCGGAAAAAGAGAAAATCGATTATCAATTATATTACTTTAGACGAGAAAGGTAGAAATTTCGAGTGGAAACAAGTCGTTGTAATGTGAAATGGGCTGTAAATTCTTTAAACTCCCTCAAACGATCAGAATTCCCTTTAAACTCGGGAATTACAACGAGTTTTGGCCCGCAACCCCAACTCCACCTATAGTAATATGAAATTGGCCGAATTTCGAGGACAAACCCCGGAGACACCGAATGTCCTCTTCGCAAACGCCTAAAAAAGGAACACTGAAGCCGGAGAAAAACATACGTTCTTCCGCCCTTCTCTCTGGGTTGCTTTAATTTCGACGTCTTCCCCTTGACATCCCGCCGTTTTCCCGGTTCGGTTGCTGTTTTCGTTCGCCTCATCGGCGCGGTCACATTGTTCAGGAAGCTCATCAGCGAGAAGCGACGCTGACTGCTGGTGGAGGAGAGGTCGTTGGTCGGCGGTCGGCTCGACGCGTGCGCCATGATCAGCTCGAAGTTGGAGGTGGCGTCGATGGAGACCGAGGCGGATTTGCGATGAGTTCGTGGCGGCGAGCGCTGCTGTGAGACAGCTGGAGCCGTCGGCGAGACTTGTACGCGGTTCTGAAAGCGAAAAAAGTTGAAAATTTTCGAAAATTTTGCAAGTCGAACATCAGATGTCATGAATAATATAATTTGCGATGTTATTCATCGCGAAACAAACAAATTTCAAAACAAACCATAGAACACTAATTTTTGTTGTTGATAGCGTCAGAAAAATCGCACTGAAATGACTCATACTGACGTATTTTTTAGAATCTATCATTTCCCTGGCATTCCGCCGCCAACCCTCGGCAATCATTGTTTTCGTGCCGGGAAAATGTTTCGAAAACAATGACTGGAAACTTATTTTGATTACAAAAATGATTCAGAAATGTTGAAGAAAATTGAATTGACAATGGACGCAGTCACTGTGCGACCCGGATCTATTTCGAAAACGGATATAATGGGTCCTTCGCCGGAAAATTGGGACCAAATCGGCTGAGCAAACAAATCTTCCAAACGTTGACAAAAAAATTCCGAAAATAACATAAAAGTATGAGCACAAAGGTCTCCGTGACGTATCGGGTCCAAAAAGTGTTCCTTTTAGGAGAGTCCGGTATTTTTTGTCCAAGAATTCAAAAAGTCGAAAATTTTTTTTGATTTCAGACCTCAAACAATTATGGTATATTCCAGCTGACGGCTGTAGTGTTTCTACAAAAAATCTGCTTTTTACAAGCGAAATTCGCCAAGATATAGACGAAAAACGTCTTTTCTCTCACCGTCTCTCCTCATTTCGCATGCTCTCTCGGGAAAGAGATTGCGTAATATCTCCGCTACGGGTGCAAATTATGGCCTAAAATTTTCAGGAATTGGTTTGTGGACTATACCAAGGGCCTAGTAAAAATTTGAAGAAAATCGAAATTTTTTTATATTACACTTGAGACCTCATTTTCAAAAAAAAATTTTAGGAGAACATGTCGAAAATGGTCAATCATGCTCTTTTATAGTCTGATTTTAATTTCCAAACGCTTTTTATCAAAAAAATTTTTCTTTGTTTTGAACCTTTTCCCCCGATTTCTTACCGTAATCTTGTCCGCATTCTCCATGCTGAACTTGGAGCTGGCGGTCTCGTACGAACTGCGGCCCTCCTCGCTTTGCGCGTGCCTGAAGCGGCTCGGCGGCTGCGCGAGCGGGCTGGAGCTGGCGCTGGGACAGGGCTCGGGCTCCACTTCGGCCTCCACGGTGTGGCGATGGGGAGGCTCTTCGCTGTCCTGGTTCTCCTCCTCGACCAGGGTCCCGAGGTCGGGCCGGGAGGTGGCCAAGCCGCGCCCGCTTTTCACACTCATTCCGCCGTTCTCTGGGAGGGTGAGATATGGGCTGGAAATGGGGAAATTTAAGGGGAAATTTTTGAAAAAATTGAAAATTTTCAAAAAATCGCGAAAAAAATCGGGATGACTAAACAGTCTGTTTAGATCAATTTCCCCGCAATCTGCTACGCTATAAATAATAAAAACAGTAATAGTCGTCTGATAAGCATCTCCCAACATTTGCAGCAACAAATTTGCTTAACATTTGCGACAGAAATTACAAAAATATCCCAAAGACCCGCAAAAACACGCCGAAAATTAGGAAAATCACGGAGTTGCGATAAAACACATGGTAAAAAACAGTTGTAAACAGGTCCCATAACCTTCTCCCCCTTTTATTTTTGCAGCGGATTGGTGTTACAGCGCGTTGATTCGGCGTAAACAGCGGGAATTTTGGCGAAAAACACTCGATTCGTTGAATTGTTTCAAATGCAATGTCTGGAGGGTCTAATTGCGAGTATAGAAATCTCATTTGGAGGAGGGAATGAGGGAAAAAGTAGTCGTGGGGTACAAAGCTCTTCCTTTGGAAGCTATTTTTTCCTCGTCCGAGGCTCTTTCCCAAGCCCTCCCAAGTGCTCTCTCTACGGCTCATCGCGGCTTCGGCGCGACTTTCACTCGCGTCTCCGCATCTTTCGCGCTCTCTCGGCCGGAAGAAGAGAGAAGAAAGAGAGAGCCTTTTTCTCTCTGCACTCTCGGCTTTTGCGCGTTCTCTCCGCATCTCCGGAAGGAGAGAGAAGAGAGGCGTTTTTTCTCTGACCTCTCCTTTGTTTGTGCGCACTCTGTGTTTGAGAGATCAACGGGAGCGGCGAAACCTTTTCCGTCTGGCGCCCTCCAACTTTGTGGCGTTCTGTTCGTCGCGTTTATTGGGAAAGAAGACGGAAGTCTTCGTTTCTCTGCGCCCCCTCTCTTTTCTTCAAATGCCTCGGGGCGTCTCTCTTAACTCTTCACGTCCCTCTTCTGCGCTCGTTTTCGGAAATGTCACGTTAAGAAAGCCGGCTATTGCTAATCAATTTAGGCGCCCTTTGATACGTTGTCAAGCTCTTTAATCAAATTTGGACGAAATTTTGAGCGAAATAACGCTTATTTTTGGGCTTAGATTTTCATAAAGTGCATAGACATTTTTTTGGCTTTCGCACAGTGCATTTTGAACTTTTTCCCACGCTTGTCGCTAACGCACAGTGCATTTTTTTTTTGCTTTTCGCACAGTGCAGTTTGAACTTTTTTCCACGCTTGTCGCCGACGCACAGTGCATTTTGGACTTTTTCCCACGCTTGTCGCTAACGCACAGTGCATTTTTTCGCTTTTCGCACAGTGCAAAACACAAAAAGCCGATTGCACTGTGCAACCTTCTCAGCAAAACCGCAGCGACACATGTTTATGTCGCAGCGATATTTCAAATGCACAGTGCGGAAAACAAACAAAAAAAAACGAAATGCACGGTGCAAAATGGGGTCTCTGTGCACTAAAAAACTTATTGTCGCCAACGCACAGTGCATTTTGAACTTTTTCCCACGCTTGTCGCCAATGCACAGTGCATTTTTCGCGTTTCGCACAGTGCAAACCACAAAAAGCCGATTGCACTGTGCACTAGTCTGCCTATTTTTCATTTTGAAAATTGGAAAAAAAGTCATGTTTTGTGTAATTTTTTGACTAAAAATCTCTTGGCTAAAAAAACTGTAAAATTTTTGGGCTAAATGCCTTCAAAAATTCGAAATTGGTTTGTAATTAGTAATTTTCCACTTCCTCAAAAACAACTTTATTACACTTTATTACACATACGAACACTTCCTGAGATCTCAAAAATAATACAAAAATGCAATTATCAGTCTGTAGGGAAAATAATGAGCACATTGTCGCTGAAATGAAAAGCAATTCGATTTTGTCGCGAGACAATTCATTTTCTCGGCGGCGATGCGATTTCGGCTGCGACAGAGTGCTCATTATTTTCCCGACAGGCTGAAACACAAGTCAAGGGACGCTATCAAAAAATTGTCATCAATTTCGGGCTACCGGCCTAGCCCCCATACACTTGAGAGCTTCGGCTGCGACAGGGTGCTCATTATTTTCCCGACAGACTGATATCATCAACCGAATATTACATAACAATCATCAAGTAATAAGAAAAAATACACAATTTCTAGAAATATCCTTCGGCAAATTTACAATTTTTTATAAGCATACGCGTAATACTGTTTAATATTGTTTGGGCGCGGTCCAATGCCGGCGGGATGGTTGCGTGTGCTGAAAAAGTGATGAGCGCACACGGAGATGGCCAGTAAAATGAAGCCCAAGCACACGAACGCCACCAAATCCGGACTCCACGCGGTCGGCGGCGGGCGCGGCAATCGGTACTGGTCGGGCAGGTTGGCATCGCGCACCCACCCAACATACTTGAAAATTGCGAACCGGTCCTCGGCGGGGATCTGATGCAAGTGCTTTTGGAGCATTGCATCAATGTTGAGACGATGCTCCGACCATGGCGGGGGGTCGAAAATGACGCGCAAGACCATGGCGAGAGCGTTCAGTGCGGTCACACTTTGATGATTTCGACAGGCGTCTAAATGGAAGAAATATTAGTAGAAAATAGTAAAAACTGTGTAGATTAGAGTCAAAAAAGTTTTTATTCACCCTCTTTTTTTGAACGCGCATGTCCACCGTCTTCGTACGGATTCAACGGCTCCACAATGCCATGTTGAGGGATTGCTTCAGGCTTCACCAACGTGTAGCAGCCTTTCCGCGGATGCTGCCAAGTCAAGATCAGCTCGATCGTGTTGATGTCGACAAATTCGACGAATCCGAAGAGTGAGCAGACAAACACTGGAAAATTGGCACATGTTTTTTTGAGCAGTTTTTGTTTTGAAAGGTTTTGACGAAATGTCACAAAAATTATTGGAAATTGGATTATGAGCAAAACATATTTCCAGTGACGTATTTTAAAAATCTCTAAGACATTTTAAACACGTTTTTTTAACTTTTTGGGGTTAAAAAATTTTTTGACGAAATGTCACAAAAATTATTGGAAATTGGATTATGAAATACATGTTTCCAGTGACGTATTTTAAAACTCTCTGAGACGTTTAAAACACATTTTTTAAACTTTTTGGGACTAAAAAAAGTTTTTGGCGAAATGTCACAAAAGTTATGGGAAATTGGATTTATGAATAATGCATGAAAAAACTACGCCGTATTTTACAAGGCTATAAGTGAAATATCAAAAAATCTGATTTTTCTAGATCCTTTCGACCTTTCATCGTATAATCTGATATTTTTCTAGATCCTTTTATTTTTTTGACGAAATGCCACAAAATTTATTGGAGAATAAAAATGTCAAATGCGAGTCCAAAACGCTTAATACAATTATTTTACATGATTTTCGGATGACTAAAACTGTTGGTCACTCTATTTTTCAAGTTCCAAAAATTTTGACGCAGTGTCACAAAATTTATTGGAAACCGAGAAATCCGTCTAATATCTTGCAAAACGTATTTTACAAATCAAAAATAATTAAAAATTATTATGAATACTAAAAAATGCTGCCTACTTTGCTCAGTCAACGCCTCAACGGCCGTTCCATCCAGTCTGACCAACCTTTTGCGGTCCTTTACAATTTTCGACGTTTCATCGTATAAATTGGTGCATAACTCTGCGGTCAGATCTGTGATAGTGCTCGGAGATGCTTTTGATTCCTGTGAAAAGGTCGACAAGTATTCGTGGAGCTTCTTTTGACATCCTTTGGCCTCGAATGTGGCCAAATTTATGAGCTGTTTCACAATGTTCGAAGGGGTCTGTCCTTTTTGTTTGAGCAGCAGGTCTTGGCATTCGTCGGAGATGGTGCAGTTGGACGATTGCAGAAGGCAGTTAAAGTAGCTGAAATTTTGGGTTAATTTGAATACAAAAACATGCAAATCGGCGCCGTATTTTACAAAGAAAAAAAATTTTTTTGAATTTTTTGTAAAATTTTAATTAAAAATATCTCGGCTGCCTTTGCAGAGCAAAAAATAAAATTTTCAGGAGTTAATATGTAGTCTAGCTACAATATGTGTGCAAAATTCAAAGGCAATATGAGCTTTGTGTTACTGTAAATTTTGAAAAATTCGTCTTACTGTGGGGGACCTAATCCAGTGGCAAAAAGGTACCATTTTGCATCCGGGAAGTATCAAAAATGTGGCGAAATCCTTCCCTCTCCAACTGAAAAAAGCTCGCTTTTAAGGACGTGCCTTTTTTCGTCGGAGTTTATTCACTTGGAGAGGGAGGTATTTTGCCACATGTTTGATACTTCCTGGATGCAAAATGGTACATTTTTGCCACTGGGTCAGGTCCCTGTACCTGCTATCGTCCTTATGAAGCCATTCCTTCCTCTGCTTCTCTTCGCTTCGATCCTTTTCATGCCATCGCCATCTCTCATCCAATTTTCGATAATTCGCCAAGTCGAGGCGGAAATGGTCCAGTAAAAATGAAATCTGGAAAAGCAGAAAAGTCATCAAAAATTGAAAATCGTTTCAAAAATTGCTTTAAATTCAGTGGAACATCTGCACAGCAAACTCTCATACATTAAAATTTCTCTATAACCAACAATTTCAGAGGTCCTACAATTTAATTTTACGTAGTTAGTAGTCCAACTGCGACATTCAGATTTTGAAAAAACGTGGCCAAAACTTAGGACAGCTTTTTCGAAATAGAATATGCGAGACTCCTAGCTCGCGCTTTGCAGAAACGACCGAGATTTTCATGCCAAAATTTGGAAAAATTTTGAAAAAAATTTTTTTGCCAATTTTATCATGAAAAGTGTCGTGCCTCTATCTACTGTAGAGTATAATGTTTCCACAACAAAATCAATTTTTTCCGTACAAAATTGGCAAAGATACAGCCAAAAAGTGGGTTTTCTCTGACCGCTCTCCGCATTTGGCGGACTCTCTCGGCGGCAAAGATCGTTGAATTTCTCGGCTCTCCTTAAAAAAATTGGGCTAAAATTTTCAGGATTTAATATGTGGCCTATGGCCGATGTGCGTGCAAAATTTGAAGAAAATCTGTCGCATTTGGGGAAATTTTAAAAAAATTGGTTTCAGCAAAACCCCTCTATAACGAGCTAATTTTTGGCCCTTATTCGTTGTATGGGAGCTCTAAATTTGACTCTCTTTTCCTCTTTTTTTATCTCTCCTACCTGCTCACTGGCATTCCCATCCCTCTCGCGCAGCACTCGTTGCCCGCTCGCAATCAAAGACTCGGTCCATTGGGTCAAGTTCCGGACCTCCTTGAAGATCTCCGGATGCAGCCCGTTCCCATTGAAATTGGTGTCCAACTTGGACAGCGTCGAGTGCATCACGCGCAGGGCGAACAACGAGTTCGGGTCGGAGATTTGCACATCGTCCAGGTAGCCGAGCAGGCCCACGATTGCGTTCAACACCAGGGCCAACAGACGCGAGTTATTCCAGGAGAGACGGATGAACTCGCCGTGGAACGGCATTCTCGCTCATTTCTCGCGATTTCCCCCAGTTTTCGAAGCGATAGCGGACGTGCGGTCAGCGAGAACTTTTCGAGGGTATTCCTCGGGAAAAAGGACGGGGAGAAAAAGCGGAAAAAGAGAGGGAAAAAGAGGAAAAAAACGGCCGAAAAAGCGGCCCAAAAGGAGCGAGGGAGCGCCGAAAGGAGAGGGCTTTCTTCTCGGCCTCATTGTGGGAAAAGAGCCGGCTTTGAAGCGGGAAGTGGAAGTGTAATGTCGAGGAGGAAGTCGTAATAAACAAGCTCTGAGTTTATTCGTGTACAAGATGTAATATGTATTATATATACGATTGGTTTTTTAAACTTTATGAAATTGCAAAATGTTACTCGTTAGTAAAAACATTAATTTTACAGTCTAGACAACGTATTGGCAAACAAAAAAAATACGAAAAATGACCGAAAACCGACTATTATTCTGTCGGGAAAATAATGAGTACAATGTCGCTGTGCCGGTCGCGTCGCTGAAGTGAAAAGCAATTTGATTTTGTCGCGACACAATTTATTTTGACATCGGCGATGCGATTATGGCTGCCACAGAGTGCTCATTATTTTCCCGACGGACTGAAACACAAGTCAAGGGACGCTATCAAAAAAAATTTCATCAATTTCGGGCTACCGGCCGAGCCCCCATGTACTTGAGAGCCACGGGGAAAGAGAGAGAGAGAGAGAGATCGGGAATGCGGAAGACGACGTGATGGGGGAATTGTCATCCTATTAGACATCCTTCATTGGGCACGAAAGCACGGGAAAAGAATGAGTGTGGTGGTGAGTCAAACGTAGCTTGGTATCGAGAATAGACACAGGTTTTGGAATGAGGCTTATTGAGAAGACCACACTGGGTGTCAAGACCTTGATATAGGTCAAGTAATAAAGGCCCCTAATCTAGTTCTACCTAAGATCCCAAGCCCTATGCGAACACAAAGACAACGACTATACAAACAAGCGACAATGCAAGACTATGCCCTAGGCAACAACCTCAATAAGAACTCACGACGATGGACTCCAGACGATGTGACCACAACACAACAATAATAGACTACAGTAGAAATACGATTTATTTCTCGAACCAAACATACAACCGGGAAGAGACAGGACACGAATATATTAATAATAATTGACGATTTCTCCTAATTTTATACTCATTTGTCGGTCATTCCGTGGGAATATGCAAATTTGCACGCGAAGTCGTGACACGGGAAAGAGGAATGGGATAATGTCCTCTACTTCATAACGAGACGTTGCTTTTATATGAGTTAGTTTATGCTAATTTGTTTGGGAATTGTGGAGGCTTTTGAGGCTCCACAACAATGAGATCAAATTGGATGATTCTGGCTTTTATAGGCTATTTTATTATTCAAATTTGGCACTATTGCCAACAGGCTGATTACAAATTTTATTTCATATAAAGACTTCAAAAAACTAATCCAACAACAAAGTTGGCGAACAATGCAAGTCCTAAGAATACGACCATATAGAGCATGTAAACGCCATAGTCTTTGCCGTAAACGAACGGCGTAGCCGTCGCCCGTTTCCTGATCCCCATCTCCACTCGTTTGTTGGCTTCGAGAATCGCTTTCCTCGCGCCGCGCCACGGATGCGGGCCTCGCAAACGGAATGCGTACGGCAACTCGGCCCCGAAAATCATACGGTAGAAGAGTTTAGGGTCCGAGAAACAGTAATCGAAGGGCCGAGGCGAGCAGCCGAGCATGTCGCCGATCTCGTTCATGTACGCCATGTAGTCGATCTGAAACAAATCAATTGATTAGCCGGTTGAATGGGAGTTTTAGTGTACAGTTGCGGACCTGATCCAGTGGCAAAAAACGTACCATTTTGCATCCGGGAAGCATCAGAAAATGTAGCAAAATACCTCCCTCTCCAAGCGAAAAAACTCGAGTTTCAAAAGCCCGCCCGCTCTTTTTGTGAACGCCTTTCAAAAAGGAGTTTTTTAGTTGGAGCGGGAAGCATTTTGCCACCTTTTTTGATACTACCCGAAAGCAAAATGGTACGTTTTTTTGCCGCTGAATCAGGTCTTTCACTGTATTTTTTCGATGAAAGGTACTAGTCCTTCCGGAAAGTCGCCGGACGGAAATCGGCGACATGCACTGTGAGAAAAAACTCAGGGTGCGAGCGACAGCTCGAAAAAGCTTATTGCACAGTGCAAAAAGCCAAAAATTGCACAGTGCAAAGTGAACTTTCGATTTCGTAGAGTGCATGTCGCCGATTTCCGTCCGGCGACTTTCCGGAAGGACTAGTACGTACCTCGATCGTATACCGTTGCGAGTTGACAAAGTTGTGCAACAAAAATTGCTGATATTCGTCGTTGGCGCGCTCCATCCCCTCGAAGGTGGGGAGTTTGGTGCGGCCGGTGAAGGCGTCGAAGAACAGACGGGCCTGCAGCTCGGAGACAGGCAGAATCGAGCCGAGGGGCTGGAAAAACATATCTTGTTGGCGTCAGAAGTTGTTTGAAATGTTATATACATATATATATATATATATATATATATATATCCGTCTGTCGGGAAAATAATGAGCCCAATGATGTGCCGATCGTGTCGCTGAGGTTAAACGCGATTTGATGACAATTCATTTTCTCGGCGATGATGCGATTTTCGATGCGACTGAGTGCTTATTATTTTCCCCACATATTAATACTTTGGTCTCCGAATACCAAAGTATCAATCTGGCGGAAATTCTCGCCCCTTTCCGTCGCACGCACCCCAAGCCCCAATTTGCACCGTGGAGATGTTTGGAGCGCGTAACAAAAAAAACGACGCATCGCCAGCAGTATCAGTCTGTCGTGCAAATAACGGCGGGTCATCGCGCCTTGGAATCGCCCATCATCGCTTTGCGACGGCTAGCCGCGGCTGGAGATTTGCTGCGCGACTGCGACGAGGCGAGACATTTTGCCGCAACAAATCCACATTATTTTCCCGACAGACTGATATATCAGTATGTCGGGAAAATAATGAGAACTTGAACGAAACATTTTGATGCGAGGACCCGCCGCATGTCAAACTGAGGAATCCGATGAGCGGAATAGACCCTTCGCTATCGGTTTTTTACACTTCATCTTGAATTCACAGAGAAGTCAGAGAAAAGACGCGCAAAAGCCTACTGTCTCGCCCTAAAAACTCCCCATTTCTTCTCCGACAAAACATTTTTTCACGTCTTTTTTGGCTAATTGCCAATCCGTTCACCTGACCTTTTTCGCTTATCTCAGTTTGACGTGCGCCGTTATTTTCTCGACAAACTGATAATCATCATTACTTACCTGAACCAATCCGATCACAGCGCACGTATTCTTTCCGTCTTCGTCTTTGGGATACATCTGTTTGTAGAGCCGGCATTTGTTCTCCACCACGGGCACTAGCTTTCCGTTCTCCAAGAAGGGAAAAGCGAATTTGTAGCCGGTCGCGAACACGACTTCATCCACATCTTCGACCACTTTTCCATCGACAAACTCCACCGACCTCTCGCCAAAGCTTTTGATGTCTGCGCAGGGCAGAACCAGCCCCGAGGCGATGCGAATCGGCAGCTCATCGCTGGCGGTGGGATGCTGATTGAAGACGCCGTGAGTCGGGCGGATCCCGTACAACTCGTGGTCGAGATGGCGGTTGTGTTTGTCGCGGACGTACTTCTCCATCAGCCAAGGAGCTACCTTCGAAAGGTGATAGAAAATGCGACGCTGCAGAGCCATGTCGACGGGCCAGCCGCTGTCGGTGCATTTCGGGGAGATCCAGGCGCCGCGGCGCGTCGACCAATAGACTTGCTTCGAGACGCGGCCAAGCTCGCAGATCTGTAAAAAGTTGCGGAGTTTCGAGTATGACTAGTCCGTTCGCAAGGCCGCTGGGGTGATTCCTGGGCAAAAAAGGCATGCGGGCGAAGAGGAAATCGTGCCAAATGAACATGGTGAAAGAAGACCAGAGAGTATTTTTTAAGAATGATTTTTTGACAAGCCACTCCTCAAGGTGCCCTCCTTGTCCAGGGGGCCAATGCGCTAACTGAAAGTTTGCTGAAAGTTAGCTGAAAATGGTAGGGCGCAGCTCGGAAAACAACGTTTCGAAGCACGCCGGAGCTAAGTTTCAGCATGCTTTTAAGCTGCGCTCTATACGCGAGCTGCGCCCTATGATTTTCAACAAAATTTCAGCAGTTAACATTTTGACCTCAGTTGCCCTCTTCGTGTTCAATCGATGTCAAGTCCTAAATAAAGCATTTACGGAAAGTTTAAAGCGATTCCACAAAGGCCTTGAGCAATTTGCCTCCGCAAGTCCCCAAAACATCAACTTACAATATCCATAGCGGAATTGCCAGCGCCCACAACCACCACCACCTTGTCCTCGAACCCGCTGGGCTTCTTGTACGAGTGGGCGTGACTAAATCTCCCTCGAAATCCCCCTTGTCCAGGCCATTCCCTCGGCCAATTCGGCGTGGTGTGATGTCCGACACAAGAGAGGACCGCGTCGAACACTTCGTGATGCTCGTTTCCATTCCCATCCGTATACTCGACATTCCATTGGCCCGAGAGCTTGTAGTCCTCGGCTCTGTGGACGTTCCGCACTCGATGGTTCAGCTTGACATGCTGCGTGACGTCATTATCCTTCGCGTAGTTGACAATGTACTCGTAGAACTTGGTGTGATGCATGTATGGCGCGCTGTGGGCGGGTGGCGGGTAATCCGAGAGAGCGGCGCATTCTTTGGACGAGTTGATGACGGTCGACTTCATTACGGTCGGCAAATCACCGTCCTCTTCCTTGTACAGCCAAAGGCCGCCGATGTGGGCGGTGGCTTCAAAAACTACCGGCTCTATTCCGTATTCCTTGGCCCATCTGGAAAAGGATGATATGTATGTCGGGGAAATAATGTGGATTTTTCGCAGTGTCTCACATCGTGGCAGTCGCGGACCAAATCTCCAGTTGTGGCTAGCCGTCGCAAAGCGACGATGGGCAATTCCAAGGCACGACGAATCCACATTGTTTTCCCGACGGACTGATACTAGGAGGGCTAAGAAGTCTTGGCATGTTTGCACTGTGCGTGGTCGGCGTGCACTGTGAATTTTACAGTCGCCGCGCGGCAAGTTTTTTGCGCGACAACGCACTGTGCAGGTATGTCAAAACTTATCGGCCCGGCCAGTATCAGTATGTCGGGAAAATAATGTGGATATGTCGCGCCTTGGGATCCTCCATCACCGAAGTTTACGACGGCTAGCCACGGCTAGAGGCTTGGTGTGCGACAGCGACGAGGCGAGACATTCAAAATTCAACTTTGTCGGGGAAATAATGAGCACTATGTCGCATCGAAAATCACATCACCGTCGAGAAAATGAATTGTGTCGCGACAAAATCGAATTGCTTTTCACTCCACAAGGCATTCTGTACTTTTGGGACACAACCGATCTCCGAGGCTTTTTCAATTTTCTTTTCGGAATGCGCTTGCTTTTTTCACTATATTTCGCTAGCCGTGTGCGCTAGAAGGCTGAAATTTGGCACGGCAGTAGAGTAAGAAGCTGGCTTTCAGAAAATATAGTAAATATTGTCAGGAACCCCCTAGTATAAACTTCCCGATGACAATTTTAAAGAAACCTCATTTTCAAAACCTCTGCAGCCCAGAAGGGACGCTTCAGTGACGCGATCGCCGCAGCGACGCTGTGCTCATTATTTTCCCGACAGACTGATATTAGGGCAGACAACATAGCCAGAGATAGCCGGTGATTTGTTTGGATAAAAACGACCGCTTACTTGGCCGAGGTAAGCCCCGAAATTGATCCTCCGATGATTGCACAACGCTTCGTTTTCTCCATAGTTTACTGTAATTTGATCTGACGAAATCTACAACAGACACTTTGCAGTAATTATTTACTGACTTGGCAGTGACTTGACAGTACTTTTCACCATGATTTATAAGCCGTTCTAAACAATCGGCTTATCAGAACCACCGCTGAAAAAGCCTTATCAGCCGCTACATTCTCAAGTCGGGAGCCGCGCTCCGCCGCGCCCCCTCTACATTAAGGGCTTCTGACCGTTTCCTCTTAACTTCAATTTTTTTAACTTTTTTTTCCATACATTCTTTTTTTTGCTCTTTGTGATACCCAAATGACTTTTTTTTAGTCGCTGTCATTATCGACCGGTCGGTACTGAAAAATCGAGTTTTCTCCTTTCTTTTTGGAGCTATGCTGCCGATTTTTTTTTCAGAATTCGTAGAATGGAATTCTACACCTGAATATGTTACTCGTTTTTTGACCATAGTTGGAGTCTCATTTTGAAAATTGCAAAAAACCGACTTTTTAAAAAGTACCCCTTTTTTGAGCCACCTTTGCGGCTTTTTAAAGATAGTTAGCCAGGTCCCGTTCCGATAGATCTCTTGCAAAACACTTCAAATAGATTTTCAGAAATTTCTACATAACGCGGTCGCGTCCCCATCGCGGGCGGCTCTCGGGACTGGAAGGTTCCAAAAAGTCAAAAACGATTCGACATGAAAACGCCCAGCTATCCACACGTTTCCTTCATGCACTGTGGGTCATTTTTCACGCTGACTCCGAATCTGACATGCTTTTTGAACAAAAATTTGCATATCGGTTATATCCGGATTTCAAATCCAAAATCCGATTTTCGTATCTCTGGAACTAGGACCTTAATCAAAAATCGCTGCCATGGAAAGTTGCGGAGCGTTTTTTGGAAGCGCCTGAAGTGGTTTTTGGACGGCGGGTTACAGTCCACGGTTCTAAACAATTCGCGAAGTGATTTTGCGACATACTCAAAAACATCTCGCGAGCGAAGCGAGCGCCGAGTACCATTCTTTCTTTATCGGACGTGTTTTCTATTCCTTTCAAACTTTCTAATTGGATTCTTTCATGTAAATTCAAAACTACGGTTACTGTAACATTTTCAATTTTTTTAACCCTTAGGCTACAGGTGTAGATGAAGGAAATTTCAAATTCTGATGCCAGATTCTGAATCTACGTGAAAAATCACCATCAGAAGTGGTATCATAGTCCTCCTATCTCGCCGATTTTTTTCGGCTTACTGTGGGTTACGGTAGTTTTTGCGCCGTAAGGCGCTTTTTCGCCATTTTCTCAGCGTAGACGCAATCGCGCCGGACAAAATTCACAGCACTGGTAGTACTCGTCATTACACGTCTTTCAAGGTGTATTTCACGGTTCCAGGTCTGTCGCTTCACGAGGGATTACTGTAACAAGGTGTCTGGCTTAAAGTTACAGTATCTCGGTCAATTTTGATCGTATCCACCCGCCCCAAAAAGCATTCTACTGAGTTTAAATAGCTCTTCAAAACATTAGTTGACACGTTTCCGCCATTTCTTGAAACCGGGTTACTGTAACATCGTAAACATAAAAAGTACCGTAACTTTTGAACGAGTAGAGATACGAAGACGGGACCTGGCTCAATCGTTCGGAAATCAAAAACTCGATCAGGATACGTGTAAAAATCTTGATATTTTTCTAAAATACGGTCTGGCCGAATTTAATTCTGGCCAAATTTTCCATTAATTATTTCACCCCGAAAAAGTCAAAACTTTTGGGTAAAAAACCCAAAATATGACGGCCCTCTAATTGTACTACAACGTGGTATAATTTTTTTTCCGGGGGATTGAACCTCCGGGGACTTCAGATTCCCAGACTTCCGCGCTACCCACTGCGCCATGGGTGGCTCTCTCGGAATCAAAAAGGGACCGAGCGCGGGGACCTCCGCACTGTGCAAAAACACTTTCGAAAGGGGACACTGTGCGGATTTTTGCTTTGTCGCGCAGCGACAAAGCCAAAATTCGCGCAGCGACAAAGCCAAAATTGGAATTCGCACTGTGCAAATTGAGAAAAAGCCTAGCTCACAGGGTAAAATGCAGAGTGCACGGTGCGTCTGGGGGGAAAGTGGGAAATCAAAAGGGGGGTGCCTGGGAAAACGTTCGGAGGGTGTTTTTCGCACTGTGCAAAATGAAAAAAAGCCTACGAACGTAGGCTTTTTTGTTGATTGCACTGTGCACATTTTTCCAAATTTCAGGTTTCGAAGGGGAGTGTCTGCAAAATATTTTGCGACACTCCGCCAACAAATTTTGCACGGTGCAAGTGGGAAAGGCTTCGTTTGGCAAGATTGCACTGTGCAAACCGTGTCGCAACGTGGAAAAAAGGGCGTGGCAAAAATTGATTTTGCATTTTCGTGAGAAAGCAAAAATTTGTCTAGCTTTCTCGTCGATTTCGGGTCCCAGTATTTTTCCGAGGGCGATTTCAGTTGGGTTCGCGCGGGTTCGAGATTTTTTATTTTCTCCGGGTTTTCGCGAGTGCACTGTGCGGTGAAAAAGTGCACTGTGAGTTGACAAGGTGCAATGCGCGGTGCTTAGCGCATAGGCTTAGGCTTAGTTTGCTTAGCCGCTTAGGCTGCTTAGGCTTAGCTCAGGCTTAGTTTGCTTAGGCTGCTTAGCCGCTTAGGCTGCTTAGGCTTAGGCTAATTTGGTGGCGCTTTGCGCGCACACCCGCGTTGGGAATGTAGGCTGACGAGTCGCGTAGCGACGTAGTCAGGCTACATCCCAACGCAGCTTGTCTAAAAATTCTAATTATACTACGTCAAGTGTGCCGATCAAATGTCCAGTTTTTCATGCCATTCCCGCACGTCTTACCATCGGGTGCGATAAGACTTTAATGCACTTTAGTTGAATTGTGTGGTCGATTTTTTGCACGGGACAAAAGTGAGGATTATCAGCGGCTGGAAGCGTCTGACAAGAAGAAGACGGGAAGCGAGGTACAAATGAACAGATGATCACATATCACTCCATGGGAGGCCGTGAGCTTCATCTTACGGTGCAAAGACATTACGGTTTCCGTGCTCTTTCGAGAGTGCGCCGAATTTTTTGCGTTCTTGGGAAAATGAGTGTCTGTCGGGAAAATAATGTGGATCAATTACTGTCGGTTGTCCGGAAAATAATGTGGATTAAAACAGTACTGGTCTGTCGGGAAAATAATGTGGATTAAAACAGTACTGGTCTGTCGGGAAAATAATGTGGATTAAAATAGTACTGGTCTGTCGGAAAAATAATGTGGATTTTAAATACTATCAGTCGTGTCGGGAAAATAATGTGGCTCAAATACTGTCGGTTTGTCGGGAAAATAATGTGGATTTGTCGCGACTTATATATATCATCGCTTCGCGACAGATAGCAACCCCGTTTAGACTACGATATCCAACATCTTACAACGTCTCGCTTGATTCGCCAAATTATCTCATAGCCAAGTTGAGCCGGCAAACCCCTCGATTCTTTATAAATATATTTATTTCTATCACATAAACTACCCATTTATGTACCGTATGTTCGGAAGACAACAAGATATGTAACAAGAAAAGACCTGTAGTAAGTGAGTAATGCAGCGCAATACTTTTCATGAGACAGCGTGAATGTTCAGCTGTTCGTCGAGTGGATCGTAGGGCAGCGACAGCTCCTCCAACAAGTGCAGTGTCGAGGCGTCGCGGCGGAGTTTGGCGATCGCGACCGCATCCCTGATCGTGGGGTAAAAGTTGGATTTGGGGACGTAGGCGTAGAAGCCGCACTTCTGGAACAGCTCGCGGACCGGCGCTTTGGCGGCCGCGAAATAGACGAGCACCATGTGGGAGCGGAGCTCGTTGAAGATCTGAAAAGTCGGTAGGTTTGTTTCGAAAGTCTTCGCGTCTGTCGGGGAAATAATGAGCACTCTGTTGCATCGAAAATAGCCGAGAAAATGAATTGTATCGCGACAAAATCAAGTTGCATTTCGCCGCAGCGACAAGATCGGAGCAGCGACATTGTGCACATTATTTTCCCGACAGCCTGATGAAACTTGTCGGCGTCTTCACGGGAACCGTCAGTCTGTCGGGAAAATAATGTGGATTGTAATACTATCAGTCTGTCGGGAAAATAATGTGGATTGTAATACTATCAGTCTGTCGGGAAAATAATGTGGATTGTAATACTATCAGTCTGTCGGGAAAATAATGTGGATTGTAATACTATCAGCCTGTCGGGAAAATAATGTGGATTGTAATTACTACCAGACTGTCGGGAAAATAATGTGGATTGTAATACTACCAGACTGTCGGGAAAATAATGTGGATTAAGAAACTATCACTCTGTCGGGAAAATAGCTGTGACTGAGGATTTGGCGCACTGCCGCGGCAAGAACTTTTGCTGCGACAAATCCACATTACTTTTCCGACATCTGATGTTATATTATTCGTCTGTCGGGAAAATTATGTGGACTTGTCGCACTCAGATTTTGGCCGATTCCGAGGAGCGACAAATCCATATTGTTTTCCCGACAGGCGTCTGAATTTGTCGCTGTATCAGTTTGTCGGGTAAATAATGTGGTTTGTCGCATCGAAGCCGCGGCTAGCGACAGCGATGACGGACGATTCCGAGGCGCGACAAATCCACATTATTTTCCCGACAGGTTAGTGAATTTGTCGCTGTATCAGTCTGTCGGGAAAATAATGAGTACTCTGTCGCATCAAAAGTCGTAATAAAATTCTAAGGTGAGACAAATCCACATTATTTTCCCGACAGACTGAGATCGTGTCTATAGTTTTTTTTTTATTTCAATTTTCTCACCTCTTTCAGCGCGTTGACTCCCATCGTGTCCACGAACGTGAATCCCGAGCAGTCGACAATAAAATGCCGATAAGCCAGGCCGCTGGTCCCCTTCCCGATCTTGATGGGCAGTTGCGGTGGGACACTATGCGTCAAGACCATGTTGTTCAGTCGATGCAGCGTGTCTTCCGGGTCCGGAATTTCGACTTTGAGGTCCTCGGGGCCGAGAACGTGAGGATTGTCTTCCTTCCATCGGAGGGCCGCCAAATGAATCGATTCCTTGAAGCTTTCGACGTTCGTGAAAAGCAAGGGAGCGTCGAAACGGAAGACGCAGATTCCCTGCAAAAGTCGAAGCGTATATGTGGCTCGGGACAGCGATAAAATAAAAACCCCGATTTTTGAAGATGTCCAGAAAATGTGTCACGATGACACTCGTTTAAAATGTGGTAATGGTATAAAAAATTGCTGTATATGGCTTAGGGTACTTCCTGGAGTACCGTGAATAGATGGCTGGGGACAATGATAAATAAAAACCCCGATTTTTGAAGATGTCCAGAAAATGTGTCACGATGACACCCGTGTAAAATGTGGTAGTGGTATAAAAATCGGATATATATGGCTTGGGGTGCTTCCTAAAGTATCGCGAGTAGATATCTCAGGACAGTGATAAATAAAAACCCCGATTTTTGAAGGTTTCCAGAAAATGTGTCACGATGACATCTGTTCAAAATGTGTCAGTGGTATAAAAAACAGCTGTATAAAGCTAAGAGTAGTTCCTAGAGTACCCACAAAAAATTACTTCAAAATTTTTGCAATCCACAAAAAATGTGTCACGATGACACCCGTTTAAAATGCGGTAGTGGAATGAAAAAAGGCTCTATATGACTAGGAGTACTCTAGAGTATCCACAAAAAAAAATTTGACTTCAAATCTTTTGAAATCCACAATTTGGATGACGGATTTTCTGGATTTTTTCCCGAGGACCTTGATATTTCCCGAAATTTCATGGCTTGCTCTACAGCTTGCGCCCATCCATATATAGGATTTGTTTATAAATCTACCACGTTTTTAAACCAATGTCATCATGACGCATTTATGGACATCCAAAGATTTGTAAGTTTCGAGCCATACATGTACGTATGATTATGTTCCCAGACTCACATTAACCTCCACCACGCTTGTATATCTCTCCGCATCCCGGAAGTCGTTCGTCCCTTTCAAGTTGGCCAAGTAATGCCAACGAGGCCATTGCGTTCGGAACACTGTGGTCATCAACGCAAACCCAATCGAGATCGCCAGCCCCTCCGTGACGTCATAGCCGATTGTGGCCGAAAAACTGACCAGCCAAATGAAGAAGTCGGTCTTGGACAGAGGCCAGAGGCGTTTCAACTCTCCCACTTTTTTCATCATATTGGTCAGGGCTACCATGATCACAACCGAGAGAATGCACTGAAATGGGATAGGTTTTAGAGCGTTTAGAAAAGTAAAAATTTTATATATTTTTGCTATTTTTGTTATTCCAAAAAAATTATCCTTGCCATAATTTTTTTCATCTTTTTATTTTCAGTCTGTCGGGAATATAATGAGCATTCTGCCGCATCGAAAATCGCATCACCTCATTCAGAAAATCAATTGAGAAAATCAAATTGTTTTTCACTCCAGTGACGCGATCGGCGCATCGACATTATTTTCCCGACAGACTGAAAATTATAATATGAAAAATATATGTTGTGCAAATTTTTATGCAAAAATGGGAACATCTAAAATTTTTAGGGCCTTTTAGATATTCAAATGTGTAATTCTTTGCATAAAAAACTTTGTTTAAGCATTTTGCGGAAGGTACGCAAATTTTATGCAAATTAAAAAAAAATATGCAAATTAAAAAAAATATGCAAATTTTGAAAAGTATGCAAATTTTAGAAATTATGCAAAGTTTAAAAATTATACAAATTTTTCAAAAAAATAAGCTCCAATATTGTGAAAATGACTACTTTAACCATCAAAAATATATTTTTTTTTCACTAGAATTGAGAAATTTTTAAATTATGCAAATTTTATGCAAATTTCAAAAACTATGTAAACATTGTGTTCATTATTTTCCCGACGAACGAAAAAAACCAATTTTTCAACTTACCATAGGCAATGTGCGCAACAATCGGCCGAAATACAGGATGACTGCGGCGATGATGACGCTGGAAAAGATTGTGGACAGCTAAAAATTCCATGGCACAAATCTGATCTCCACTTACTTGAGTCTTGGTCCCCGCTTCCACACTGACCGCCGTCCGACTCAGCGAACACGCCACCGGGTACATGGGGAAGACGGGCGAGAACAGCGAAGAGAACCCGAGGGCGTACAGCTCCTGGCCCGGGTCCGTCTCGTAGTTGTATCGTTTGCCAAAGATTTTGGCCAACGAAATGTGAATGGCGGCGACGACAATGGAGATGGTGATGGCGTGCGGGATGAGATGCGGGACCAAGGAGAAGGTTGGGAGCGTTGGGATGGGGAATCTGCATGGAAATAGAAGGATTTACTATTGTTAGTATTTTCATAAAGTGCATGGACTTTTTTCGTTTTCGCACAGTGCATTTTGAACCTTTTCCCACGCTTGTCGCCAACGCACAGTGCATTTTTTCTTTTCGCACAGTGCAAACCTCAAAAGAGTCGTTTGCACTGTGCAAATTTCTCAACAAAAGCGCAGCGGCGCGGTTGAAACTCGCTTATGTCGCAGCGACATTTCCGATGCACAGTGCGAAAACAACTTTTCCCACACTTCTCGAGCTTTTTTTTCTCACACAGAGCTTTTTTCTCTTTTTGCACGGTGCATTTTGAACCTTTTCGCACAGTGCAAACCACAAAAAGCCGATTGCACTGTGCAGCTTTCACAAAAACCTGGTCGCAACTTTTCGAACGGCGACGAGTGAAATTCACGGTGCAATGCGACACCGCACAGTGCGAAAGGCGTTTTCTCGCCGCACAGTGCGAAACGGAAGGGCGAAAAAGCTGATGTCGCGCGAATGAAACGGCACAGTGCGTTCTTCATTTTTCGCACTGTTCTGATTTTTTCCCGCGCGACACCTCATCGCAATGCCGACCGCACCGTGCGAAATGAATGCGTTGAAGTTTGCACAGTGCAAAGTGAACTTTTGTTTTCGCACTGTGCGCGTCTCGCAAACAACTTGTCGCCGCTTCGCAAACGGCGACAATCAAAATTCACGGTGCATTGCGATCCCGCACCGTGCAAAATGAATGCTTTTGGAAAAGGGGTGAAACTGCACAGTGCGTTCTTCATTTCGCACTGTGCTGATTGTTTGTCGCGAAAACACACTTTGTCGCACGGCCGCACCGTGCGAAAACAAGAAAAAAAGGCTTTTTGGGCCGCCGAAATAAGTCGGTAATTACTGTAAAGGATGGAGAAAAATTACCCCGTTGCCAACTCGCCAACAATTGGGACGTTGTGCCTTGAATGGAAGTGACAATACGCTGACAAGCCGGTTACAAACAGCAACTGAAAAAATGCGTTTGAAAAATCCAAAATCTCAAAATATTTACCAGTTTGTCGGGAAAATAATGAGCATAATTTTGCTGCTCACGTCGCTAAAGTGAAAAAAATTGATTTTACCGTGAGACAATTCATTTTTTCGATGCAATTTTCGACACGACAGAGTGCTCATTATTTTCCCGACAGACTGATAATTATAATATGAAAAAATTAAATTATGCAAATTTAAAAAAACTATGCAAATTTCAAAAAATTATGCAAATTACAAAAAATTATGCAAATTTCAAAAAATTATGCAAATTTCAAAAAATTATGCAAATTTCAAAAAAATATGCAAATTTCAAAAAATTATGCAAATTTCAAAAAATGCAAATTTTTTTAAATAAATTTTAGACTCAGAAATTATGAAAATCGCTGTTTTTCCTGTCAAAAATACTCTCCAAAAAATCGCCTACCAACACAAGCTCAAACGGCGGCGGTACCGAGATCTTCAAGGTGTTCTTGAACCACGGATTCACATAATGCTTTCCCAGCACCAGAAACAGTAATCCGAGCAGCGAGATCAGCATCACCGTCTGATTGAGCTGCTCCGGAATTGCGAGCACAATATCGTAGAGCTTGAAGAACAAATTCCCGGCGCCAATTCGCCGAGGCAGGTCCTCCAGGCCGAAGAAGTCCTTCAACTGGCTGACAAACACGTGGAACGCGGCGCCCGTCGAGAACCCACCAACTACGGCGTCGGAGAAGTAAGCAGTAACGAATTCGAGGCGAAGAAAGGCCATTACTATCTAAAATAAGGTGAATTTGGGAAGAAAAAGTCAAGCAATTTTTGCAAATTTTTGCATAAATATTTTTCAATAGGTTGACAATGATTCTTGAAAATTTTAGCTCATGCTATGCAATGACGGCCGAGATATGGTCTTTGCGGATGAGAGACTATGTGAAATGAGGAGAGACGGTAGAAAAACGGATTTCTGCGGTGTCTTCTTGAATTTTGAGCGGAAAAATATTTTTTTTGGTATACTTGTATTAGACAGCACAAACAAAGCCTGAAATTTTCAATTTGAAAATTCCAAAAAAAGTTGGATTTGTGAATTTCTTAGGTGATTTAGTGATTTTCAAAAAGCAAACATAAATATTTTTACCAAAAAATATATGCTTTTCCGTTCGAAATTTGCAAATATCAGTCTGTCGGGAAAATAATGTGGATTCGTCCATCATTTGCTTTGCGACGGCTAGCCGCGGCTGAAGATTTATAGATAATCAACTCAATGAGACGAGAAATTTTGTTACGAAAAATCCACATTATTTTCCCGACAGACTGATATACATTCAAAAAACTTTTTTTTTTAAACTTTTTTTACTGCTCTCCAAGTGTTACACATTCACTTCTTTGGAAAGCACAAGCTAAAATTCTTAGAAATTTTTGTGCGACTTATACCAATTGCCCTTTCAAAATTTCATAAAAACATAGATTTTTTAAAAACAGGTCTAACAAAATTTTTTGAAAATTTTAGCATTTGCTATGCAAAATTTCAAAAAATTTTTTGACATCGAAATTTGTAAAAAAATTGATTTTAAAATACGTTCTTTCTAATAAATAAAACACTTACTTCTGCCCTCCTAAACTCAAATTAAAGTTTTTTGAAAATTTTAGCATTTGCTATGCAAAATTTCAAAAAATTTTTTGACATCAAAATTTGCAAAAAAATTGATTTTAAAATACGTTTTTTCTCATATAGAAACTACTTACTTTTGCTCTCCCAACCTCAAATTAAGATTTTCCGAAAATTTTAGCATTTGCTATGCAAAATTTCAAAAAATTTTTTGACATCGAAATTTGCAAAAAGGTTGATTTTAAAAGTACGTTCTTTTCTATATATAAAATAATTACATTTACCCTCACATACTCAAATTAAGATTTTCTAAAAATTTTAGCATTTGCTATGCAAAATTTCGAAATTTTTTTTGACATCAAATTTTGTAAAAAAAATAATTTTATAATACGTTTTTTCTCATATAAAAGCTACTTACTTCTGCTCCCCTAACCTCAAATTTCCCCACCTACCATAACCAAACCGATTGTGAAACACAACGTGGAAGTGACTTCAATATTCGAATATCCACTATGACTATCCACGCCCAATCCTGTTGAATTTAAGCCCTGCAAATCGGGGCCCGCGTCCCATGTGGCCAACTCTTCCACCGCCATTCGGGACATTAGAGCGACCACGGCGAAAGAGCCCAACGAATTATGCCTGGAGGTGCCGAAGATCATGTAAAACAAAGGGGGAAAGAAGGATATGTACAGGCCGACAATTGGAGGGACACCCGCCAGAACGGAGTAGGCAATTCCTAAAAAATGCTATCAGTCTGTCGGGAAAATAATATGGATTTAATACTACCTGTCTGTCGGGAAAATAATGTGGATTTGTCGCCCCTCTTTCCCTATCAGACTGTCGGGAAAATAATGTGGTTTCTAAATACTATCAGCCTGTCGGGAAAATAATGTGGATCAAATACTATCAGTCTGTCGGGAAAATAATGTAGATTGAAACAGTACTGGTCTGTCGGAAAAATAATGTGGATTTTAAATACTATCAGTCTGTCGGGAAAATAATGTGGATTGAAACAGTACTGGTCTGTCGGAAAAATAATGTGGATTTTAAATACTATCAGTCTGTCGGGAAAATAATGTGGATTGAAACAGTACTGGTCTGTCGGAAAAATAATGTGGATTTTTAATACTATCAGTGTGGGAAAATAATGTGGGTTTGTTGCGCCTTGGAATATTATTACGCCATTTGATACGACAGAGTCATCATTATTTTCCCGACAGACTGATACATCGACAAATTCACTACCCTGTCGGAAAAATAATGCGGATTTGTCGCGTCTCGGAATCGTCCATCATCGCTCTACGATTGCTAGCAGCGGCTGGCCATTTGATAGCGAGATATTTCGCTGCGACAAATCCACATTATTTTCCCGACAGACTGAAAATTCGGAGATAAATCGATTCTTTTCGTTTTTTAACCAGAATTTTTTTTTACCTTGAGGGATGTGAATGATGGCCAACGTTAAGCCTCCGATCAGATCTCCAATCAGATCCCGCGACCATTTATAATGCGGTAACCACTCGAAGATGGGGACAAAACTTATCACCGTCTCCACAAAATTGTGCGCTGATGTAAAGGGACGGGAGTAGTGACTGAAAAACGCGAAGATTCGACGGACCGTTTCGCCTTGCTGATCGGTTGGCGGGCTGTAGTTGTAGAGTTTGTCGAATTCTTCCTGAAAAAAAGGCCGGGAGTTTATTTTTGAAGCCTTTTTTGTAAGCACTGTGTATAAAAAACGCCGTACTTGCCTGATTCATTGGTGGTCGGGCTTGAGTGAACCGACCCGTCTGCAAGATCGGCCCGTCCTCCGCATCTTGAGACATTTTTCTGCAATATTTGGGGTTAGTTACAGTGGCGGACCTGATCCAGTGACAAAAAAACGTTCCACTTTGCATCCGGGAAGCATCAAAAATGTGGCAAAATACCTCCCTCTCCAAGTGAAAGGTCACCAAAAGTGCCTTTTTTGTGAGGGAAAGGGCGAGCCCTTCAAAATAGAGTTTTTTAGTTGAAGAGAGAGGCATTTTGCCACATTTTTTGATACTTCCCGGATGCAAAATGGCACATTTTTTGCCAATGGATCAGGTACGTCACTGTAAACTTCGAGACAACTACTAGTCAGTTTGCAAAGTCGCGGGATTTACGCGATTCTGGCGAGCGCATGCTATAAGATTAATGCGTGAAATTTACAACGCTTGTAGAGAAAAGAGAGATCTTTTCACCCATGTCAATTTTAACAACCTTTATGCAGAACTCAATTTGTAATCAACCCTGAAAAGGTGCAGTGCTGTGCAATTTCGTGTTTTTTTTTGCGACGTGCAATATGCTTTCTTGTGCTGTCGCTCGCACCCTGATTTATTTCGCACAGCGCCAACGCCAAAAATTACTCCAGCGACTTTGCTAACGGACTAGTAATATAATATATAAAAATGTAAATATTAGGTTGGACGGAAAGTTCGTACGATTTTTTACCCAGATTTCAATTTAATTTTTTTCGCGCCAAAACCGAGTGCCCACCGTAAATACCTAGCATATACAAGAGTACAGTGTGCTGATTTATGTGCTACGTGCCAACCGTTAGCTCCGCCAAAACGAGCTTAATTATAAGAGATTTTCCGCTTTGCGGCTATTTCGGGTGGGGTCCAGAACGTAAGCTCTAGTTTCCAGATCGTTTTTGATAAAGCTCTGAAACTTTGTACGCAGTGTCCAGTGGTCTTTATGACTACGTTAAACACAATTAGAAATCATAAAAGAGTGTGTCGGATAAAATAATGGCAACACTTTGAACCAAATCTTCAGCAAAGGCCCCTCATGAAAACTTTTTCTTATTATTCCGCGTATTGCTTATGGTCTGCCTCTGTAATAGGGTCCAGTAAGGCAACTGGGTAGGCCTTTACGTGCCTCATGAGTATCCCGGATAATAAACGCTTCGGGGTAGCCTTAAAGAGGCAAAATTGCCAAAAATATATAGCTCTACAGAAATGCGTGTGATTTGCTGACAATTAACAATGGTTACCTATTGCTTCATAAAGTAGTAGAACGATATAGAGGCTCCATTTTCCACCCTAGAAAGGGAGGACTCGAAAACTGCTTTGAGCTGTTTTTTGAATTTTACGAATTGCTCCGATAGTTCACCAGCGAGTTTTCGAAAAACAAGTCATTGAGTTCTGTCATGTCACGCAGTAAAACAATTGGCTAAGGACGGGTAGCTTAGTGTCAGGTAGTGTCTTTAGTTTTGGCATATCATAGTTAGACCCATAGGAATGCATCGGCAAAGCGGCTATTGTAATTATATTCAAACTTGGTGGGTATCGCTAAAATCAAGTTTTCTGGCTATGTTTGGATTTATTCCCCGACTACTTCACGCACATTAGGAGCTTCAAAAGGAAGCTTTTTAGCAGTGCTAAAATAGTTTCCTATTAGGCCTTGTTAAAGAAACCAGCCAAGAATCTCTACTTGTAGACCAAAGATGGGTAAATGTCTAAATTAAGTTCTCAGTTGGTAAACGCTTAAGATGGCTGAGGGTTGTACTGTCAGATATGGATGCCTGTCCTCTACCAACACCATATATTTGTGTTTGTCTTTTTACATCGGCTCAAGAAAAAATAGCAGCAGTAAAAAATCGTACGAACTTTCCGTCCAACCTTATTACCGCGCGAAACATTGAAAAGTAAGAAATCAATCCAAAAACTGTAAATTCTCAGCCAACTGCTGCCAAATTTCCCTCACCTTATAAGTTATAAACCTCCTGCTTCAATACAAGGCCCATAAAAATATAAAAATAGTGAAGTAAAAAATCCAAGAGCTCTTTTTAGAGGCACTGTGCTCTTTAGCACGGCGGAAAAGAGACGGGTTTCGAAAAGCGGCCGTGTTTTTGAAGCATGGATTTCGAATATCGAAAAAAACGAAAATATCTCGCGACAAAGAAGTCCTGAGGATTCATCTCTATGAAGCCGGTGCATGTTATTGGGCTCCTTTTCGTTTTGAGATAATTCAAAACAAAGAACAAACAATTTTGGGTTCAAAAAACGACTATTATCGGGCGAAAATTTAGCATATTTGATAAAATTCTTCGCTGACAAAGGAATTTCTAGAAAATTGTAGAAGTTCGAAAACAATGCATATAAAGATGGCATGTTTTTAATTGCCTTACAAGTGACGTACTCCTAGCAGCTCTTCGGACATAAGCCATATTTCAATTCTTCAAGATTTGCAGATTTTAGCCCTCGCTTGCAGTCGAAACTGCCAAGAGAGTACGAAAAATGCGGAGAGCGGTCACAGAAAGAACACTTTTTTTATGGATAGGTGGACTCTCTGATGTTTATAAGTGTCAAATTCAAAATTTTTGACTATGAAATGATGATATTTTAGCCCTAAACCGACAAAAAAGTCAATTTTTCCAAATTTTTCGATCAAAAAATTTCGGTGATTTCGGCAAAGCGCAAGCCAAAAATCTCAGATATCTTGTAGAAGGCTATATAATCTTTATTCTCCCCAAATTTTATCGCAATCTGTCCCTCCAACTCTGAGAATTTCCCTATTTTTATTATATTAGTCCGTTCACAAAGTCGCTGGAGTGATTTTTGGCGTTTGCACCGTGCGAAAACGAAAGTTTCCTTTGCACTGTGCAATTTCTTGCTTTTTTGCACCGTGCAATAGGCTTATTTGGGCCTATTGCAACCTGAGTTTTTTCGCCTTGTGGACATCGCGAAAATCACTCCAGCGACCTTGCTAACGCCCTAATACCAAATTGACACCCCTAATTTTTGACGACAAAACTATTCTATTAACCCCAGCTATGCCCCAAGGGCTTTTTGAAAACCTCAATTTTTCAGGAGCCAATGAAAAAACGTCAAAAAATTAATCCAAAAGGCGGTCGGACATCAAAAAACACGGTTGTTTGTATCGATAATCTGGAATTTCGTATCTCCCCTTAGGGCTCGAAAAAGACTCAAAATCATCGATTACTCTCCTAACATAATCGATTACTCCCAGGACAACGAATCCGCACGTGGCTGAACCCAAATTGATCTCATAACAAAAAAATTTGGCGTTGAATAGCCCCATTCAAGACAAAAAATTTCCGGCCTTTAACAATGTGATATCAATGATTACTTATTACAAAAAAAGTTCTGTTTGTTGGACAGACAAAAGCTCACAAATCGAACACAAAAAAATCAGTTTTTTTCAATGTGAAACGTGTAATGGTTTAAAAAAGGGAAGTGTCCCAAGCTCGACGCTCAGATTTTGTATAAATTTTGCGTCCCTATCGGTCTGTCGGGAAAATAATTAGCACTCTGTCGCGTCGAAAATCGCGTCACCCTCAAAAAAAAAGTGTCGCGGCAAGATCAAATTGCTTTTCACTTTAGCGACGCAATCGGCGCAGCCACATTGTGCTCATTATTTTCCCGACAGACTAAAAGAAGACTCGCAAAGTCGCTGGAGTGATTTTTGCGACATGCACTGTGCGAAAAAGAAAAGTTCACTTTGCACCGTGCAATAGGCTAAATCTCCAGCCGCCTCGAGGCGTTGCAGAGCGATTTTGAGTGGTTCAAAAACACGATGAATCCAGGTTATTTTTCTGACAGACTGATAATAATATAGATAATAATACGTCGCCGTATGACAGTGCAAGCGTGACATCAGTCTGCCTCATTCGATAATATCAGTCTGTCGGGAAAATAATGTGGACTTAACGCAGAAAAATGTGTCACTTCGTCGTAGCCGTGAATCAAGTCTCCAACCGCGGCGGAGAAAAATGACAAGCGATTTCAAAGCGTGGGGAATCCACATTATTTTCCCGACAGACTGATTGCGGTGGGCTAACAAGTCGTCTTGTCGCGCGAGCCAAACTGCACAGTGCTCTCAGTTTTCGCACCCTGCAGTTTTTTGTCGCACAAAGGCACTCTGCGACGCCCGCCACACTATGCAAAGGCAAGGTAAGGCTTGTTTTCTCGCCCAGTACAGCTGGTTTTTCGCCTATGAAAGTCAGACGATAACCAGTGACGCAAGTCGGCGGCGGAAACAAGCCCGATGCTATTCATTTACCTTTATTGTTGTTTTTATCAGTAACGCCCATACAAATCGATTTTTATGTCATTTGACTGCTTTTGATAACCCGTTTCGCAATTTGAACCATTCACGAGGCGTTTAATGAGATTTGATAAGATTATCTGCCGATTTGCATGCTAATTAGCACTCTCATAAAGTGCGTGGATGTTTTGCTCTTTCGCACAGTGCATTTTGAACGTTTTTCCACGCTTGTCGCCGACGCACAGTGCATTTTTTTCTTTTCGCACAGTGCAAAGCTCAAGCAAAGTCTTTGCACTGTGCAAATTCTGCAGAAAAATCGCGGCGACGCAGTTGAAAAAGAGCTTATGTCGCGGCGATATTTTAATGCACAGTGCGAAAACCACTTTTTCTCACACTTCTCGCCAACGCACAGAGCATTTTTCTTTTTTTGCACGGTGCATTTTGAACCTTTTCCCATGCTTGTCGCCAATGCACAGTGCATTTCCTCTTTTCGCACAGTGCAAAGCTCGAAAAAAACCCGTCTGCACAGTGCAAACTTTTCAGCGAAACCGCGGCGACGCATTTGAAAAAAAGCTTATGTCGCCGCGATATTTCCGATGCACAGTGCGAAAACACATTTCTCCCCAACGCACAGTGCATTTTGAACCTTTTCCCACGCTTGTCGCCAATGCACAGTGCATTTCCTCTTTTCGCACAGTGCAAAGGAAAAAAATCCGTCTGCACTGTGCAAATTTCTGGCGCCGTCGCGGCGACGAAGTTGAAATTTGCTTATGTCGCCGCGATATTTTCGATG